CCTGGCAATGTCTTGCGCGCAGTAGGCGTCCTGGCATTCGCCCTCTTCGTCAACTACTTACATCTTGAAGCTCAAGGACATCTTTGGTGCTTTGTGGTATTATTACTAGGCGTTTCGGTTGTAGTAAGGAGTAATTTGCCGTCTGCATATGTGCCTTTGCCCTCTGGAATGCAATTCGGCCCATTCGGCATGTCTCACATCTGCCGTTGGCTGCAATCTGTCGTGGCGGAAAGCATTTGGACCAGCCCCCGGTAGGCGGTCGGTCACTCGTTGGATGGCTTTGAACGTCCATTCGTCAGGTATGGCATGTGTGGTCACATATTAGGTTTGTTTCTTTTCTATTCCCATTTGCGGCACTCTCAGCGCAAACCTTCCTAGCTGTCCGCAACTGTCTGCTGTTTTGTCTCAAAGCAACCATGCTGTCATGCAAATCAGGATACGGCAGGTATAACCAGGAAGTATGGGGTATTATGGGGTAGTTACCGGCCACGATAAGTACTACACGGATTCGAAATACTTTGGAGGCAGTCTGATTCAAGTACGTTGTACGTCGTACTCTGTATGTGTGTTGTACATTTCTCCATACTCGTATCGTGAGACCCACAACTGACTTGCAAAAGTGATACCAGTAATACCAAGACATGGCTCAGACTTGTGCTTGCCTCTACCCCGTGAGCGCGAATACTATATCACATCATAATTACGCCCTCCGTTCGTATGTTCCTTGCCCTTTTCTGTCACCTCTCTTTACTTTATATTGTCTCCCTTCCCTCGCCACCCAGGCACAAGGACGCGCTGTGTTCAGTGGTTGGCAGGATTGTAATCTTAGCCGGGGCATTGATATCTCGCGTGCCAGTCGCTCTTCCCAGGCTCATTGGCCCTGGCTAGGCACTTTGTTGGTCCGCCCAGTGTGAATGTGATTCACTGACTAAGCTTCTTCAAATGGCCAGGCCAACTGCAGTCAACCCAAGTGTGACAGTGAATGTAAAGGGGGGGGAATCGGACAAAAACCGTATTGATTTTTATGCCTTCGTCTCTCGTCTCTCGTCTCGCTCAATTACCACGGTTGTCTTGTTGTGTTTACTACCAAGTATGCCGGAAGTGTTCCTTTTGTAGTTCCTGCCGGTTTTCGTTCCAGGCCATTACAACCAACCTCTCCAAACTTGTAGATTCCAATGCGCTTTGCCCACTTCGTTTTTGTTGTTCTCCGTTCTTTTCCCACTGACTTTTGCGGAGTTGCTGGTTCCTCGTCTCTTATTCGTTAGTTTGTCAAGGCACCTACAGGCGGTCTGGTGGAATCGGCTCCCCGGAAGTGCACTAGCCCGGTAGCAGCTTAGCATCCATGCAACTGGTTCACATTGTTGCCCTTCTCGATTTGATGATGATCCAGAGCCCACCTCTACATGTACGTCGTACTCCGAACGAGTCGCTCCGCGTATGAAAACAAGGAAACGTTCTCCGCATCCCACAATCGGCTGGTTTCATATCTATATTCTGCATACACACAACGTAGAGGCAGAGCCATAAGCTCGATACAGACCTCGTCGCCACCGCCGAGCCAACTCACGGGGCCTCGGCAGTGACGCCAACAGGTTATCCATCGCTGGTTTCTTTTGTGTGGCAATTCCGGGTATTTCGACCGCAAGGATTAAACACATATTGGGAGGCGCGTAAAGTACATCGTATTACGAAAGAGAGGCCAGCTCTTGACTTCCTCCTCAGACCACCGTGAGAGGGAGCAGGTTCTTGGGGCCAAGACCCAATGTGGTATACTGTGTATACAACGGGCTTGGGCAAGAGGGCTTGACAGGCTCACAGGGCAGCCACCTGCCCTAACTGTCTGGACCGTGAGGCGTAAGCGATGCAGGTCATCCAGGTCGCTTCTTTTTCGCTTTGATGCATGGAGAGGAAAAATCGAAATACGCTAACAATGCCCGCCAGTTTGCCTCCCCTCCACTCCCCCAACGAAATTTTCTTCGACGACCTGTCCCATTTTCTTCTCTTCTGCTGTGTATGTTTTGCTCCTTTTTTTCGACTATTTGCAGATGTCAAAGGTGTCAGCATCGGGTGTGCGACTGACCTGAGTTTCACTTGCTGGATATTTGCAGCGCTGGAACAAGGCAACTGCCGCTGGAAACGGCGCTTTGGCAGCCGTTCACTGATTTTCGCAGCGCTCGGCATGAACGACCTGAGGCCCCGTCCCAAACAACGCTCACGCCTGGTCCGTGCTCCATTGTCGTTGCAGTTTGTCTCCGTATGTTAGGTCATGTGTCTCGACAAAGACTTCAAAGAGTTGCCTTTTCAATGGCTTTTTAACAATACCTCCTGCCGTTCACTAGATTGTCGCTGCTTCCCCCTCATTTTCGCCTCCCGCCCCTTTCACCTCCTCCTGCCGAATTTATTCTCTGTATTTATTGATTGTCGTGCTTTCCTTGCGCAGCAAGGGGCGTCGATTGCGCCTTCCCCTCTCTTAGTCTGACAGGCCATTGCAAGAGAGGCCTGCAGAGCACAACACAATGGGCCATAACACCCTCACGGAGCGTAGTATGGCCAGTCTCCATGGTGTCCATTTACACGTTGCACGTACTAGAATTTCCTCTCGCAGCATCTTCTGTGTTCATTTAGGCGTTTTGCAGTTGGCTCTTTCGAGCCAGCAAATCGACATTCACCTTGTGCATCTCACCGTTAAATCGTCAGCCAATCAGCGTAGCCCCTGCGGCCACTGGAGCAGGGGGTGGAAGAGGGAAGGTGCAAAGACAAAAAGGTACTATTATCTGACCTTGCCTGCATGCTCCTGCCGCACCCAGACAGTGGTCACCTGCATATTTGAATGGAGTAGGCTACTCGTGGTCGCCATTCGCAGGTCCAACGCCCAGGCCCTCCTTCCTTCCATTTCCCCTCTTTTTTTTTTTTACGAACAGCGTACCACCGTAATTACAGAACCCCTTCGTTCCTGACTTTCCCCCAAGAAAACACCCTGTAAGACATTGTTGATTTTTTTTCTCCATGCTTCCTTCCTTTCTTTTGTTCGCTTCTTTTCGCTATTTTCCACCCCATTTCGCCTCCCCACCTCCTCCCAGACAGCATCTCCACACATCCTTTCTCCCCATCTGCCCCCCTTCACTGCCGTGCATCCCCTTGCAACCCATGCAGCCCGCCTGTTGTTGCGTATTTCCCAATCGGTTGCGCTTCTCGGCGTCTCGTTCTTTTCCGTTCGTCTTTTCTTGTCTCTGGGAAGACTTGGACGAAGCGCTGTACATTTGTCGAGCCACCTCGATGATCGATCTCGACTTGCTTTCGAAAACGTCATCGCAATTCTTGTCTTTTCCGCATGTTTCTCGACACTGGATGTCCTCTCCCCTTTACGCAGTTCTCTCGGCAGTGGCAGACCGAGGACGGAATTGATAAGATACACCCTTGTCACCGACCTAGACCGACGGTCTTTGTCCCCAAATTGCCTCCTTTGATCCATCGCAACGGAGTACTTCACCCTACACAACCCACGCGGCCTCGTGCTCGCCTCCCCGACTATATTAGCTGGGCCAGAACACTTGCTACGACTCTTGGTGTAAAAACAGAGACTCCTTGCACGCAACAGCCTGCAGGGTGTGGTGGTCTGGCCGGAAGTGGAATTGTGGGCTTTTCGAACCTTTTTCTTTATTAACCTTTCTTTTCTTTTCGTTTCCCATTTTTCCATTCGCCTTTATTGACTTCACGCTTTCGCCTTTTTTTCGCTTGTTGCTTTCTTCTCTCGCTCTCTCGACATACCCACGACAAAACGCCGCCTCATTAATACTGTCTTGTATGTGCACCCCCTTCCCTTCCCCAGACACCCTAGCCCATTCCCATTCCTGGCTGCAGAGAGCGACAGTCACGATTGGCAATCCCTCCCATGCCATTCTCGCTCCTAGCAGTCTGGAATCACACCCAAACCTGCGTCCTCCCACACGCCCTTGCTACCACTCCTCTTTCCCACACACCCTCTTTCACCCTCTCACACCTCAGTCCGATGAGCCGGTACATTCATCCGTTCTTCTCGAACTCACACTCTCTTCCTGTGCCCTCCTTGCTCTCTCTGCCACAACAAGATTGAAGCGCGAGACTTTCGGCACAGCGACGATAGCAAAGGCCACCGCCTTTTCAGTTCTTCGCTTTCTCATGCAGCTACCCTCCGGCTCCTTTTTTCTCTCTCACGCCACGCACACTGCATCTGCATACCTCTTTTTCGAGTAGACAGAGGACCAGCTCTCTCTTCTTTTTCCTTCTGGCCCCCCCCTTTCTTGCATCTTGCTCTCCAACGCCCACGTCTCGCTTTCCCCTTCTTCGTCCCGCTCTGCGTCGTTATCTTGCCATATCTTCGATATCGAACTTCGCCTGTCCTGGCACGCCTTTGAATCTGACTCAATATAACAGAACAGCCTTCCTCCTTCTTTTTGCAGCCTTGTATTCGCTCGCTTGCTATCGACCTCCATCTTCACTCGCTTTTATCGCGCCTAAACATATATCTACTACCACGACATACTACTACTACTATAATCATCTAATATTACATCTGACCCCGGGAAACGATTCATTCTAGCTTTCTGAGGAAAGACACGCAAAGCACAACAACCCAACATCGTTCTGCAATCGTGATTCGTTTTGTGGCAAAAACGTTCTTGGTTTTTGTCTCTCAAACTCACTCAATCCGCTGCCTCGTCTGGTGCTCTCGGTTGTCGACCTCCTCTTCTCTCGGTGCAACGAACCAGTCAAACACCCGACCGCTTCGGCCTGCTCTCCTCTCGTTTTCATCTCGCCTATAATCGCCCTTCCTGTCGAAAGGGGCACTCTCTAAACTTTGCCCATTTACAAGACCTATTTCTCCTTACCTACGCTGCCTATGACAGAGATCCGGAAGTTGGCGACTCGTCGGAGTTGAGGATTTGACGGGAGAGGGATTAGGGTATTGCGATCAATGAGACGAACCTGCTTGCCTTTTCGATCAACCTCTTTTTTTCGCTATGGCCGTCGTCATCACATCTGACGAGGCCGCTCACTTTGCGCCTGGGATGCGGCGCTCACACTCACAGCCCAAGTTCTCTACAAAACAGACTGGGTTTCGACAGTCGGCGTCCGCCTCCAGGATCAGCGACGTCTACCAGCAGCAGCAACGCCAGCAGCAGCAGCAGTCTCAACAAACACAGCACATATCACAATCCCCACAGTCTGAATCACAGGCACGCCAATCCTCGCCCGAACCATATCAACAGATACCCGTTTTCTCCGATTCGTCAAATTCCTCGAGCACGTCGTCTCCCCGCGCCTCTCCTACTGGCGATGCTGCTATCGCTTCGTCATCACCATCCAAGCTCCTCGTGCCAGCTATGCGCTTGCCACAACGCCTTGGCCGCCCGGGCTACGGCTCATCACCAAACGGAACTGACGACGGCACAGATGCCGACGTGGCCATCGACTACCCACATTACGATGGAGTGAGCTACTTCAACCCGACCAAAGATTTTGATTCGCCAAGTCCCAGCGGTATTGGCGAGGTGTATGCCGCATCGCCGAACGACAACACAACCGTGTCGTCCACAGGCCCGTCAAGAACGAACTCGTCCGATCAGTTCGATCTGTTTGAGCATGTGGCCGGGGACGACACGGCCGTTCGCGCGATGCCGTCTCGTCATGTCGACTACCTTTCACATAACTGGAAGGAGGAAGACATTTGGGAGTCGTGGAAGTATATCGTCTCGCGCAGAGGCGACTACAGCAACTCGGCACGGCTAGAGAACGCTTCATGGAGAACGTGGATAAAGTCCAAGAACAAGCTGAAGACCGTTTCTCCTGAAACGCTCAACTGGTAAGCTTAACCCCTGACCATGAACGGGTCATATCTGCGCATTCGTTTCGTTCTAACACAACCAAGGCTCAAGGACTGTGATGTGACGTGGCTGTATGGCCCATTACAAACAGGCCACGCTGCCGTGCCTCCTGGGCAAGTAGCAGATAGTGTCGAACTGACCAAGTCAAACTCGTTCCTGGCGAACAACAAGAAACCCATCCTGAAGAAGCGGAGTATGTCAGAGATCATGCTTCAGCGATCGCTGTCTGCCTCGTCTTTGATCAAGCAAGCTGCTGCAGCCGTCCAGGCTCAGCAGAAGGACTCGGGTGCGCGGAGGATGTCTCGCCCACGACTCGAGCGTGCTACAACAGACTACGTTACTTTTCCCTTTTCTTCTCGCCAGTATAGCACGGGCCCGCCTAGCATGCTGCCGTCTACCTCTTCCTCAGGAATTGTCTCGCCGACCTCAGAACGAAGACACATCCATTTCAACGAGCAAGTCGAGCAGTGCATAGCCGTTGAAGCCAAGGGAGAAGACGATGATGCCGATAGCTTCATTGCCCGTCCCAATTACGACAGCGACTCGGATGACGGCGCCATCATGATGAAGCGCACAACATCAAAGCACCGTATGCAGCCGCGTCGGCGCCACAGCTACATGAACCACCACAATGAGAGCAAAACCATCGCCATGCTTCCGTCGACCACCCTCAAGTATCGCGAGGACACGGAAGATCGACCGGGTGCCGGATCGACCGGGTCCGCGATGAAACACAGTTATCGCAGCCCTGTTCTGTCACCCTCTTCGTCGCAGGAAACGCTACGTCCGTCAAAAGCATCCGGCAAACTTTTTTTTGGTGCGGATGATGACGATGACGAAGACGACGAAGAGAGTGACGGGCACGTTGTCCAGCAACCCAAGGATGACGACGATGACGATGACGATAACGATAGCAATAGTGATGACGACAATTTCGGTATGGCCATGAGCGGCCCAATCCTGCGTGCCGGCGGCCTAAAGTTGTCAGGATCGACCTCGAGACTCGGCGGCAATTCAATCGACAGTGCCCTGCACGCTTCATCCATGTTTGACAACATTGGCAGCAGCAGCAGCAGTAGTGGCGGCGGTGGGCTTAAGCGAACAACTTCGACCAGCAGCCTTTCCGCAGAACCTACCGGGATGCGTAGAACATCCTCGGGCATGTTCATGCCCTACGACGAAGGTGAGCCAGCAGAAGGCGGTAATGGTGGGCTGGTTGGTCGAGTCATTGATACGGTCAACACAGCCCGCGACATTATCCACGTTATTTGGAACGTCGGCTGGAGACCTTGAACAGCTTGTCGCATTTTTACCCCGCGGCGGGCTTTCTCGAGGTACTCTAGGGCGGTGTCCTTTTAATTTGTCGCCTTTGGGCTTTGCTGATCTGTTTGTTTGCTTTGATGAATAGGAGGAAGCTCTAGGACCTTGTCATCTATCCAACGTCATCATCGACCTCGGTGATGGCATCGCTATTTTGCCTTCTTTGGGAATTCGCGCACGGATCGTATCCTTGTTGGTTTTGTCTCTTTGTTTGTACAATAGTATAGCAACGAGGCGGCACACATTTTAAACATTCGGAAAGCCGGCGGCGGACAACACGCCATCAAATCGGCACACGATATTGGCGCCGATTCATATCAACCTAAATATACCCCAGATCATCATCTCGCATTACGGCCGCACGCCAGCTTTAATACCTTCCTCCCCAACTCACCATCTCACGACCTACCTCGCAAACCACGGGAAGTTTCTTGGTTTACCTTTCACGTCATGATCTCGAAGCTGTTCGACGATCGATTACATCTTTCCTATGGCGAAATGGCATTTTCAACCGGCGTTCAGTTTCATTTATTGTTTTGCGCTTTGCTAATTCATTTTGTATTTTGCCTTCCTGGGAGTTGCCAACTTTTGCAGTTGAAAAAAAAACGGAATTTTTTTTGGTCGAAAGGGTCGACACAAAACAGCACACCGAATACACTTCGGGAGGGACAGGGGGGAATAACATGATTTTGTTCCGCGTTATCTTGTCGTTTGACGTCGCCACAAACAACTTGTCGGTAACGCCACAACATATTGTGGGTGCGGTTGTGTCGGTATTTCGGTTTGCGGTTCATCTTGTCTCAAAAGGCGTGCGTATTTTCATTTTTGTCTTCATCGCGGCTCGCGAGGGGATCATTCATTCGTCACATTGCTTTCACGTTCTGCGCTTGTTTTGTTTTATTGTCAGGGCTTTCGCGGGGATTCAGGGGCCACGGGATTAAGGGACATATTTGGATCGGACAGGCGCGAGCTGCAAACCGGGAAAAACAAAAAAGGTTACGGAAATGCGTTTCCATAATCGCAACGGAACGTTATAACATAAATGGCATTTGTTCCACCATCTTTTTGGCGTTGATTTTATGATGTTAAAAATATAAATCGTACTATTTTTATGGAATTAAAACCCTTGTAGAGATTACAATGCGAAACTATTCTTGGATACAATATATTCCACGCAATAATCAACACCATTCAAGTTTAGACGTCTTTGTGGGGTGGTATCTAAATGTAATTCGTGACATACAAAATCCAAAAGCCTTTCTATGCGAAGAAATACGAAGATAAAATGTTTCTCTTTTCACAGTTACACACAAGATGACTAATTTGAGAAACGCCAACATGGCAACAGAGTCATATCCGAGACGCCGACCTCTATAAAGCATCTCCCAACCGGCGAACGAGTACCATGTTTCCGTGGACATCGACATGGGACAAAGCCACAGGGTACACCTGGCCAGGCTGGATGTCTTCGAGGGTCAACCGCTGCATACCGTCGTTGTCCCTATCTGGGCCAGTGGCGTTGAGACTGAGCACATCCATCACCGCAGTTTGCTCGAACCAGTCAAGCCGGCCCGAGACAAGACCACGGCGCCTGTCGATGCGCGAGACGGTCAAGTGGAGATTTGCAAAAGGTGTCGATGTAGTTGTCTCGGTCGCCTCGCTATCCTTATCGGTTCTGCTGGTTATGCGGGCCTCTTCGCCGAGCCACGCCCTCACCATTGCTTGCAGGATCCACTGGTCACGCCCAGCTTGGTTATCAAGCGACCGAAGGGCGCGTTCACGCACTCGAAGTAGCGGCAAAATATCCTGTTCCATCTGCGTCCTTGTAAAGGGCGGCCCTGCTGGAGACGAGGCCTTCACTGGCGTGGCGTTGCTCTCGCCGTCCTTCATCTCGGCCAAGAGCGCGCCTTCAACTTGCCAATGAACTAAAAGGTCGGAATACCGGCGCAGCGGGCTTGTCGCCTTGGTGTACCGCGCCACACCCATAGTGACATGAGGCACGGGCACAGCCGTCATGTCGTCGGCTCCCAGCAGCCGCCGAAGTTCGCGCAGCGAGGCATCCTCGGGCCGCTTGCCGGAGACTAGGGCAGGGTATATTTCGTCCCGCGTCAGCTCCCGCAGTCGATCGAGGTGGCGCACCGCGTCGGGTTGGCCACGGAAGGGTACTGCAATGTTGCGTTCGTGGCACCAGTTGGCGGCCACCTCACCCGCCAAGCGCATAATGCTCTCCACGAGACGGCTGCCGGCAGCAGAAGACGCGGCTGCTGCGGCAGAGACTGCATCGGCACCTTCGTACCAGATGCGAATATACGGGTCGCCGGAGGTTTGCATTAAGGATGCGGGTGTGCTGTGTTTGCTGTTTGTCGAAGAGATCATATCCGCAGCCTTTGGCGGGCCGGATTGCGCGGCAGCATCTACAACGACCACATTGGTGTTGTCCAGTGACACGTCAACAGAAGGACGTGGCCAGTACAGCGGCATGGCGCCATGGGCGAGGCGCACGGCACGGAGTGCGGTTGCTAGTGTCGAAAGCGTTTCGAGATCCTCTTTCTGGTCTGGCGTGAGTTTGTCTGCTGTGGTCATCGTGCGTGCGGCAGGGGAAGAGGGATCAACTTTCGTTGTGGCTGGAGGCGTGCCAACTGAAAAGGAGGATGTTGTCCACGGCAGCTCAAGTGCCGATGGCTCAGCCAGGGCATCAATGTTATTGTCACGGATGGCTCGCTGTTCGGCTTCGGCGACAACGGAAGAAACTTGGCTCGGCGCAATAAAAATGACGCGGCCGAGACGACCAGGTGTGATCTTGGACTGTAGCACATCGCCTTGCCGATTGACCCTCGCACTGAACGTCAGACAGGGCTGGCCAGGGCCCAAAGAAAACTGCTTGCGCACAACGTCGTCAGGGAACATGCGCTCATGGTGGCCTGGCAAGTAGGCTGTCTGGGGCATCCGTGCGGCCTGCTCGGCGAGAGCACTGCCCGGGCGAATGCGCGAGCCCGGGTCGGCAACATGTGCATGGATCCAGAACTCATCCGGGCAATCTGCGATGCGCTCAAGCGCAACGCCGTCGTCAATATCGGCAGCCTCTGGGGCATCAATACAAAAAGCAGTCAGATCACCCCAGTCCCGGCGTTTACCCTCGAATATATCTTCAGACAAAGGGGATGCGGTAGAAGCAGAATCAGTGGCTGAGAAGTCGAGGGACGGCGATGGCAGCTGCTCCAGTGACCGTTCTAGTCCACCTGTACGGAGAGGCGGGATATCCGGCAAACCCAGTTTATAGCGAGCAGGAATGTCCCACGGAGTTACCCAGCCGACTTCTTGAAGGAACGTCCATCCAGTGGACATGACAAGGAATTGGCACTCTGTATACCGATCGAGCGCGCGGAGGATGGCCGACCCGGTGCCATGCAGCCGCGACGATGGCGAGAACCGCTGCGAGCTCGCCCAAAGGTGCATAAATTGAAGAATCGCAACGTCTGAAGGACTCCACTGCTCAAAGTTGGAGTGTACATTATGTTTCGGATTTCGCTCTGCGGTGCCAAGCATGCCATAAGGCGACCAGTCGCGGGTCTTCCGGCTCCGGTCAATGCTTCTGCGTGCTTTTAGAATAAAACTGCCTAGCGTTTTCTTGGCCAAGGCCTTATCGCTGAGCTGACCACCAGAGCTGACACGGTCGGGGTCTTCGTAGAAACTGCGAACGATTCGGTCCACACCATGGATGATATCAATGTCCTCGCGAGGTGCAATCGCAAACAAGCAAGAACGACTGTGGCTGTGCTGCTTCTCACCAGTATCAACGGCGGCCGGCGACAAGGCATCGTCTGTCTCACTGGCGTTTCCGAGGGTGGTTGTTAACGGGCGGAAGGCAAGGTCATTGGAGGCAATTGAACGGTAGACAGCGTACATGGCGGGCGCCGTAAATTCATCCATACCCTCAGCGCCACTGCCACGGCCCCTCAAATTTCGAATGGGAAAATGGTGCCGGTGGTTGTTGTGCTGTCCACGGGGACCTAGGTGTTTATAACCCTGGCGCCGAAGCAAGACTGACGCAAGCTGATCGAGTGTCATGTATGTCTTGCGATGCTGTGGAGCCGAGTCTGAAGTGTTTCCAGAAACTTTTCCAGAGGATTTACCAGGGTCCTGTTCTGAGAGTTGAAGGACGTCAAAAGCGTTGTCAAGTACACCGGCATGAGCCATGTGGATGCCGGCAGCCTGCTCTGCGAAATCGGCCATCTTCTTGAGCAATCCAGCACCTGCTTCGCGAGAGGGTCCCAGCTTAAGGTCTTGCAGCATATTGAGTTTCGAGTCAAGAGCCGCAGCGTCCGTCCCCCCCGCGCCGCTGGAATCAGTCGTCGTCCCTTGCAGGGCCTCCGACGGCAGCGCTGCAATGAGAGGTGCCAGGTCGTCTGGGGTTGCGAACCGTGTTACAGCAAACAAACTGCGCACGCCCGAGCTCACAAACCACTTTCCCGTATTTGTGTAAAAGTGGTCGACGCCGCGGAAGTTGCCTAGACATACAGCCAGCAGCTGCACTCGCCATGAGTCCGTGCGGATCTCGATCAAGTCGCCGGCGCGAGGCGCAACGACACCATACGGGCGTGCAAGCAGCGACGGTGCGTCGTCTGGGTCCCCTCCAGCACTTCCCCAGGGAAGAACCTGGTCGGTGTCGTCTGTAACATCGAGGCTCGTCTCGCCAGTCTTGATCTCAGCTAGAGTATGGCTCTCGACACGTGTCAGCGAGTTTTCCGTGGTACCCAAACGGGCTGCATCACGCGGTATCGGCCGGGCAGTTGCCAGGTCTAATGCAACAAAGTCTCGGAGCTGCTCGCGAATCGACGGCACGCCACGGGCCCCCCGCGTCACTTCAGAGTCAGACGTCTGGGCCATCCACGCCATCCTCGTGGCATCTGAGGATTTCTTGGAGGCGGCCATGTCGTTTTCGTCCACGCGGGAACGGAGACAACGGGCTGAAGAAAAGTCCTGTTAAAGCGTTAGAAAATGACCCGGAAACAATTTCACGGACAGAAGCTCCCTCATACCCTCGTTGCACATTGCCGCTCGTGGCTAGACCATGATCGCGATATTGACGCTTGTGTTGACGATGCCGCCCGAGCAACACAGTTTTGGCAGGCAAACACACGCAATGCGCCTCTCCCGGCATAGGGCGTCATTCTGGGACACGGTGAGGTGCGAATTGGCATGTAACATAAAAAATCTCGTATGTTGCCAGCCCGTTCTGCTGTAAAACCAATACGCCGTTCGAAGCTCGAAGGCTCGAAATTTCTGCAAAAGGCTGAATGATGTCGGTAGCTCGCCCCCTAAACATTTTGTGGTTACAAGCGTTGATTGGTCCTGCCGGGCAAGGCTAGAGCTGCTGTGATGTCAGGCAGGGCCCCATCGTTGGCACCTTCCCCACAAAGAAACTTGCCTTTCATGGCGCCCTAAGTTGGGCAAGAGCAACTGGTGGCGCTGGGGGCCTAGCTTTTGGGCCAGGCCCAGTATTATGCGAGCCGTGTAATTAATGGCGTGAAGCGAACATTTGAAAAGGGTAGGGGGACGCGCTGGCGCGTCTCACGCTACATTCATATGACAAGACCTTTTGTTGAAGAGAGAGGAAGGCACGACACAGCACGAATATTGCGACTCGACCAGCCCAGGAACGCCAGGCAGGTGCGAGTTGCGATCGCCATTTCGTTTTACAGCAGCACGCTCTCTTCTTGAGGGCGGGCATTCCTCGTTCTCACCTTCCGCGTCCGCCCAGGGCCCTGGCGTCTCGCCGGCCATTTTGTGTCGCTCTCCCGATTGCACCTTCCCCATACCTGCCATCAGCGGCGGTGGACCATTCCACAGCTCGACCTGCCACGCGCTTGCCCTGACGAACTCTTTCGACCTCTCCCACCTTCCCTCCTTGTTTTGTTCGTGTCGTCCGTGTCGGCCGGCCCTTCCGCCATGGGCACGAAGCACCTGACGGAGGCGGATCGCCTGCGGGCGCGAACGCTCTTCTTCGATGCCGGACTGCCCAAGGCACGTATCTGCCAGATCACCGGCTTCAGTCTTAACCAGGTCAAGCTGGCCATCCGCGAAAAGACGCCCAAGACACGGTCTGGACGGCCCCCACGGCGACGGCTGGGTGCGGCATCTGCCGCAGCGGCGTCGAGCATGGCTGGCGAGACACCAGTCGGCGTTGCGCCGGACGCAGAGGATCAGGCGATCGTCCACGGACACAATGGACACGGTGAGCAAGGAGATGCCAGCGCACTGGGATTGGCCCATTTGTCGGTGCCGGCGCCCCCGCCGATGGTGGACGACGTGGCGGCTGATGCAACCAACGCGGCGCGCCGCTCGGGCAACCATATGCCGTCTCTTCACCACTATGGGCAGCAACAGCAACAGCAACAGCAGCATCAACAGCAGGACTCTCTCCACCATGGCCACCATACTGTGAAATGGGAGCCAGGGTACCATCAACAGGCTCCCTACTACGCGTCGTGGACTCAGCCAGTCCCGGGAAGTCCCAACTCTGCCGTCGGTGGCCATCGTGGATCTGCTACGCCTGCTTCGCCGACTCTACCATTGCCGACCACTTCGGGTCGTATGCTTCCAACGGTCGCGCCTCTAGGCATTCCGTCTCCATACTCCTCGGCCAACAGTCGTGGTGACGGCAGTGTCAGCGGCAGTGTCAGCGGCAGGGACGGGCGAAGCAGTGACGGTCACGATGTCTCGTCGTCAACGTCGTCATCGTCGCTTGCGTCCTCAGCCACGTCTTACTCGTCTATGTCGTCTTCTGTGTCTGGGGGTGGCTTTTCGCTACCTTCGATTCTCGCATCGGCGATGGGCCCGTGAACGGATAGGAGATGTTGCGTGGTCATATACCAGTCTCCAGTCACGGCATAGCATGCACCGAATTGGTGCTTTTGCCCTTTCCACTTGTTTTCTAACCCCCCTTTCCTTGCTTTCGTATAGCCACTTCTTTTCGCTTTGCTACCTGTGTTCCTCGGCATTATACCACCTCGTTCTGGGCCTTTCTTTGCACTACGATACCATTTTCTTTTTGCCATTCCAGCTACCTTTTTTTTTGAGTACTCGCAGCCTGTATGGATTTTTAATGTCTTTTTGAGCAGACTTCTATTAATTTGTTGGGTTATGGTGTATTCGTGTCTGTTTTTGCAGTGTCGACACACCTTTCATAATTCTATATGTTATGTTCTTGTACATTCTATTTTATAATCTTATATTCTATCTTTTATATCTTCGAGCGTGTTTTGTTGTGTATTGGCATGTTTTTGTTCGTTTTGTAATTTTCAAGTGTTTTTGGAGTGGGTTTTATATGTTATATTTACTCATCTACAACGAGACATAAAACATTTCTGTCTCGTTTTGTTCGATCGTGTCCGACAAGAGCATTGCTCCCAGTGGTCTACCAGGACTTTTACAATGCGTAATTGTACTTTACGTCGCAAAAAATCAAACAAGATTTTATGCTTGAATTTATTTCCACATCATAGTTCCGTCGCCAGATGCAATACCCTTCAGCCAGCTCTACCACTTTTCCCTCTTTGCTCTTTCTACATGTCTTGGCTTTTTCCAACGTGCGGAAATTGCCAAGGACCCAGAACAGATCGTCCGATTGTCCAGAACGAGTGTGGATAGGAGATGGGACGACCCAAGCAGGCTGAAAGCAAAAGTGATGACAAGGCTCGCGATTGCCAAAGCGATGGGCATGACAGCTGGGCTACCGAGTAGATCTGGTAAGAGATGCAGGGGTTCGTCTTCTCAACCCTTTCACTCCAATATCGAGCAGTGGACGAACCCTTTTGCAAAAAAGAGCCCCGTAATTTGCGCGTTCTCACCAACGCTACGAGAGCATTAATTTCATGTCGGCGCTGTTCTCTTTCGGATTCGATCGACATTGAAAAAGAGGACCAACCTCGTTCGCGATCCTATCCCCTGGACCGGGGAAGGTGGGCTTGGGAAAATTAAGCGAAAAAGAGATTTTGAAAATAAGAGGCAGAACACAGCAATTCTTTAGAGCAGTGCCACCTGTAACGAGCTTTTCCGGAATTTGCTCTCGAAAAAGCCAGCCAGTCAAGTTAGGCCACCGCGTTCCCAGCCATGTTGCAACCGCCGAAGCATCGTCGCTCGCTTTACTGAATAGATCAGAGTTGCACCAGCTCCTTTCCGCGTGGCGACCGAGTCATGCTATGTCACGGTCTCTACTACAAACATAGTGCCGCAACAGTTGCGCTTGGACACAGTAAAAAATACGGTGTGGACGACAGGGGACAAAAGGCGGAGGCCCGTGTTTCCATGTACTGATTTGCTGTGACGCTGGACGTGGACCAAAGACGGAAAGAAAAAGGGGTTGGCCGACGAATAAAAAGGCGCATCTCGAGTGACAGTTCCGCAGGAAAGTCGAGGAACAACGGGACGGGCTCTGCTAATACTCTAGAATGAGTGTCGCCGAATGCTAGATGAGAACCCCATACGTCGTAATTACTCCGTAGTCATTACGAGATTTGCTTTGCATCCCCGTTCTGATTTGTGCGTAAGTGAAATTGGCAGCGAATACGAGGTCATCAGGCCCCATCAAGCAGTAATCATTGGCATATGGCACACGTATGTGTAGACACAGAAAAGGAAAAGGAAACGCAGGGAGAGCTATTTCGACTCAGTGACAGACCTGGCAAGGAAAAGTCGAACTCCGCTGGGTATTGCAACTCTCTTGTATTCGTGTGCTTTTCTTCGGGAAGGAGAAGGATAGTTACGAGACGCAAGAGCACGCGACATTAGCGCCCCCTGCGCTTCCTCCCTTCAGCAAAAACGCGACTTTTGCGGTCCTTTCCTGGGATGACAGTTTCGGTGCCTTAGCCGTCTGGCTGGTGCCCGTCTTGGGCCCGCAAAACACACTGCAGGAGGTTCCCTCGGCGCATTTTCTGCAAACACAGCTCGCGAGCCACGCGCTCAAGGTGGAGGAATGCTGTGGAGAGAAAGACTTTTTGTGCTTTCCAAAAAGGAGAGAAAAATACAGCCAAAAAAAATTAAAAAAAAAATTAGCACCGGCGTTTCAGGTGGTTCTACTCGGCAGACGTTTTTTCGACAATTTCACGATCCCGCAGCCCACAGAGCCCCCTAGTAATTCGCAATAAGATAAGATACATTGGGGATATTAATGAGAACGGACGTGCCTTATTTCAGCTTCTTTCAAGCTAGTGGCTACAAGACCCCAACTCCTTCCTATGGGGCGCATTATTTAATGGTTTATTAAAGATCAGGGGCCGAGAGAGGAGAGAGAGGGAGATGGAGAGATGCAAAGAACGGCGTTTGGTCGGCGTACGGAGGTGCATTCCGGAGAAGTAAACAAACCCGGCGACTTTGAGAAAGCGAGGATATCCTTTTATAGGGCGTGAGGTGCCCGATTCCGCAGCACATTGGGGCTGCTTTAAGGTAAGCAGAGTCCTAGATACCCAGCCCAAGGCAAATATGTTAGTGCTCATACGTCGCAGAGTCATGACACGCTGGGTATGGGAAAGCCCTGGAGACACATTCCGCAGCCAAGCTAGGGGGCGTTCGCAACGCGTTCTTCATCACAACAAACTGGCTCGGCATTGCAGTCCTGTACATTCAGTCAGTGGCCGCCATTCATAGCAGTCGTAAGATACGAATACGTATGTGGACGGACATGAACCTTATGTACTGTGCAGTACCTTGTATGTGTACGATCACTAAGATACGTTCCGGTCGTCGTTGTTGCCATTGTTTTGTTTGCTGTGTTTTGTTGATCGTTTCTCTCCGAAGATCGATTGTTCGAGGCCGGATCGACGGGTCAACCATGTTTGTATTCCTCTGCAGGGCCCTTTCTTTGGTACCCGTTTTGTTTTGATATGCGCCCCATCCTTTTCTCGTTCGCACTCGAGGCACTCAATTTTCCATGAATTCTCTTTCTTTTTTACACACACTCTGGTCTTCTCTCCCTTTCTCCCATCGTAACGGACATAGTTACGGAGTCTGATCCGCATCTGTCCACCACAAACGCAAGTGGCCTCACGACTATGTACTCCATATGTCCAATGTAAGGGATACGGCACGTTTCACAGACTGTGTCTGGCCCGAAAGAGGAGCAGAGTGATCACGGAACCCTACCCGCAAGCTTCCTGAGGGATGATGCTTTACTCCGTACATCTCTCGGCATTCTTTCGTTATCGTGGATGCTTGGCTTATTTTTTACATCTTGGTTCCCGCTTGTCGCAACGCTCTAAATGCTCTCAATTGACGGCGCTGGTTTCCAGTCTCAGCGTCCCATTTAAAGGAAGGCATCGATCGGGACTGCGTCCATTTCGCAAGGTTTGATTCGCCAACAGGGGAGATTAACAACAGCACAAGAAACATATGAAGAAATAGCAGTTGCTCCGGCTGTATTGACAAAGGGTGTGCGCTTCGTCGTTGGCGGACGGCAAGCCTTTCAAGCAAGATATATGTGCACATGCACAGAGAGATCCGCCAAGGAACCGCCACGCTCTGCGGGGAGCGCCATGACGGCTGGATACACAGACCGTATGACTCGAAAGTGGATGAGGAGCCTGACCAGGTAGTTTGTAGAGGATACTTGTGCGAGCTTTTGTGTTCCAAGGCTTCCTTACCGGTACTCCAGGTACGAATTATTAAGATTTTGCTTGTGGCTTTGTACCTTTCTCGACCTTTGTTTGTTGTTCGGTGATTTGTTTTCAGTTTATGGTGGTTTGCGAAGTGATTTGGTCGAGTCACGAAAGGAAAAGTAAGTTCCAGCAGAACCCGAACGAGGAATGGACGGGAAAGACGAGGACCCAGTTTTCCAGGGGTAACCACCCAGGATTTGGCTGACTTCTGTGAAATTAAAATGAGCAGCCACCAATGACCGGGGTCGTGCCTGCACATCTGCATCAAGGGTGGGTGAGATGGGCAGGTAGCGCGGAGCTAATGTCGCTTAGCTAATTTCCCAGTCCTGGCCACTGACGGGCGACCGAGAGCCACCAGGAACCAGAAGCAAGCTCCCGACGCTGTCGATAGTGCAAAATAGGCGGCGTTGACAGACGTGACGTGCATTACTTCGAAGAGATTCATGAACCGGCAGGTGCGTCTGGCGAGCAGCGGCCACGTCCCCCTTTAAATCGAAAGCGTTTATACGGGAAGGAACGGGGATGCCTGTGGCCAAGATTGGTCTCGTCAGCAGAAAAGGGCAAGACCTCAAAAGACCGAACGCACTGTGCCTCGCAGCTCCTTCTGTATCCATTTTGGGCTTTGCAGGGCCACACGCTCCACTACCTCCTGATCTTGGCAGACCCGCGTGTAGTTTCTTTGCTCGGACACAGCCACGGGACACACTGGGGATGCTCTTTCCAGGTCTTTCAGTTGAGGCGACAAAAGCAAGTGCCTGACTTGTGTTGGCAAGAGAATTCGCGCCTGCGACTTCTGCTCTAGCAAAGCATCGTCGCACCTTCCTGTGCCGGGTGGTGGGCAGCGCCAGTGGCAAGAGCGTGCGCCTTGGGAAATGAGCATCGCCAGTAGACGGTCACGGCCGGTCTTTTGGCTTCATTCATGTATATTTTTTTCGAATGCCGACAGCCTCCGTACAAACCGTGCACCACCACACGAACCTGCACAGCGCTATCAGTACTCAACTTGCCACACAACTTGCTGCCTGCGCAGAAGTAGCTTTTCCCAATGTCGGTCAAACGCCACCGGGGTCCATCCCCTGTCCACACCACCATGTCACCGTTAGTGCGCAGCTTGAGCTGCCAACGCGAGCAAGGGCCGCCCCACAAGAACGGGCGCCATGCAGCCAGAAGAGAAAAGAAAACAAGAATCCAGGAACCCACAGGCCGTGAGGGCGACATTGGACAATCCATTGCAATCACGTCCAGCACGTCCGCGCCCAGCCCTTGGCCGTCCTGGCTTGCACAAATGTTTTCGGTGGAACATTGTGGGTGTTGTGGGCTTTCAGCGACCTACCATGCTCCGCGTCAGCGTGTGGTGTGTGGACGTTGTGCTGGGGGTTTGTTTAGTTTTTCCTTTTTCTTAGATCCTGACCACGGCCTTACCTGGCTGGCTCTCACGGGCTCCCGATGGCCTCGATGGCGCTGCCATCCCCCTTTTCTCCTCATGTCTGCTTCCTGTCAAGGGAAAGGCTTCTGGATGCGTCCAGACACTCCGGTACTTACTTCGCCGTCCACTCGGCCATTGTGTGGGATCATCGCGAGGTCGCACTCTCCGCGCAACCAGACATGCCTCCCACGGCCTCTGCATTCCCTCTCCTCTCTCCTCTCCACCCTGTCCTCGACCGCCCCATAATAAGGTGCACTCATCGTGGGTGAGAGAGGGTCAAGAGGTGTGGGTGTCTTGTTCTAAAATGGTTTAATAGTATTGGCGCCCGCCCACCCTCTGAATCTCTCTTCTGGCTTCCCTCCCTTTTCTCCTCTTTTCCCTTTTCTTCTTTCCTCCTTCCCTTTTTTTCTTCTTCTCCCTTACCCTTCCTCCCTCCTCCTTTCCTATCATCGACCGGATGTGGTAGTCAAGTCTTCGAAAGCCCCCTTTGCTTTCTGTCACTCGTTATACTTGTTTTCTGCTCAACAAACCGCTTCACTCTTTCAGCGGGCGCTCTTTTTTTGCTTCCACTTCTCACGATCAATACATACACGCCAAACGACCGTTTCGGTAATTTTCACTTCTTCTGCGTAATTCAACATGAAGGCTTCAATTCTGGCAGCAGCTGCTGCCCTCGCCGGCGGCGTCAGCGCCAACCGGGTTCACCACCGCCACGCGGCCGCCCACGACATGTTCCAGAAGCGCGGTCACGCCGAGGGCGAGGTCTGCACGACCATCGTCAGCACGATCTACGGCGAGATGAGTACGTTTTGCGCAGCACCCGAAATCCGCTGGCCCAATTTTTAAAAAAAAGTCTTGGCGTTGAGAGACACGTGGAGGACGTTTTGTTATTTGACAGTGGCATCGGCTTTGATATTTATGAATATATCTCGACCGTGTAAGTCGTAACGGGATGGATGGATACTGACTGCAGTCAACAGCCTGGCACCCGACGCCCGCGTGCAGCGATACCACGACCACGAAAGTCACCAAGACTCATGCCGTCACGACGACCGTCACCAAACCCGAGACGACAGTGACGAAGCCCACGACGACCGTCAACCTCGAGACCACCGTGACCACCGAGACGCCCTGCACCGTCCCGACCATTGTCGTCCAGACGTGCCCGACCCCTGGCACCTACACTTTCCCGGCCACCACCGTCGTGGTTACCGAGACCACTACCGTTTGCGGCGCCGAGACGACCTCAGTCCCTGCCGGCACTCACACCCTCGGTGGTGTGACGACTGTCGTCGAGACGGAGACCACCGTGGTCTGCCCGGTCGCTACGACCTCTACGCTCCCCAACGGCGTTGTGACCAGCATCATCCAGGAGACCACCTACGTCTGCCCCTCGGCTGGTACCTACACCATCGGTCCCGTCACCACTGTCTGCGCCACCGAGACCGTTGTGGTCATTCCTGTCGTCACCACCTTCTGCCCTGGCACCTACACTCGCCCGGCCGTCGTCACGACTGTTACCGAGACTGACGTCGTTGTCTACTGTCCCTTCAGCATCCCTACCACTGCCCCTGCTCCCACTACGACCCCTGCTCCTGCTCCTGCTCCTGTGAAGACCACTTCGGCCGCTCCTGCGCCGCCGAAGTCCACGACCTCTGCGGTCGCGAAGCCGCCCACCACGCACAGCGGTCTCGGTGGCTCTGGCGACCAGTGGGCCATCACTTACACCCCGTACACCAGCAGCGGCGGCTGCAAGTCGTCTTCGCAGGTCCTGATTGATCTCCAGGAGATCAAGGCCAAGGGCTTCACCACCATCCGTGTTTACTCCACCGACTGCGACACCCTGCCCAACGTCGGTGATGCCTGCGAGGCGACTGGCCTGAAGCTCATCATTGGTGTCTTCATCTCCGAGGTTGGCTGCGACAACGGCAACCCTGATGTCGCTTCCCAGATCGCTGCCATCAAGGCCTGGGGCAAGTGGGAACTTGTCGAGCTTGTCGTTGTTGGTAACGAGGCCGGCAACCAGGGCTTCTGCACTCCCGAGCAGCTGAAGGAGCTGATCGTTGAGGTCAAGGAGATCATCGTCGAGGCTGATTGCAGCGTCCCCGTCACCACCACCGATACCGTCAACACCTGGCAGGACACCAACTTCTCTGGCGTTCTCTGCAGCGTTGTCGACGTTGTTGCCTGCAACTCTCACGCCTACTTCAACGCTGAGACCGTCCCCTCTGAGGCCGGTTCCTTCGTCGCGGGTCAGCTCGAGATTGTCAAGAACATCTGCGGTCTTCCCGGTTACGTCATGGAGACTGGCTGGCCCTCGCAGTGCGTTGCCAACGGCGTTGCCACTTGCTCTGAGTCTGACCAGGCCAGCGCCATCTCCTCGCTGAAGGCGGCTCTTGGCAGCCAGGTTGTCTTCTTCTCGTACTCCAACGATGACTGGAAGGACAATGGCTCGTGCGGTTGCGAGCAGCACTGGGGTTGCGGTCAGCTCTTCTAAACAACTCATTAGTCGAGCCTTTTGACTACTGCCCATTTGTTTATAAACAGCGCTTCCCTTTCCACCGCCACGGCCTGCGGCCTGTCCTCTTTTCCACCCCACCCCTTTATCTTCGCCCCTCCTACAGAGCGACGTTTCTTCCTGTATATGAATGAACATTTATTTTCTCTTGGTCTTCTGTACAACCTCAAAATCATATCCCGTCCCTCTGCCTTCCCCTTCTATGGGACGTCCACACGTTTTTTGTGCATTGTGCGCCACGTGCTCTTTTCCAACTTTGCGTGCATGTGAAACGATTGTAAACTACGACACACAGCGAAATCTATCTCTCTCTCTCTCTCCCGCCGTTTAATCTTATTTATGGGCCCAAGCCAGCCCGAATCCTTTCTAGCCAACAGAACGCATTAGCGTTTTCATTATTTTTCTTTTGTTGAATTCTATCCGAACATGTTAATTTTCTACTTCCTTTTCTTTCTTGTCTAATTATTTATGAACGAAGCTGCATTTGGCTGAATGAGACGTCCTCTTTTTTCCAGTACGGGTCGTACGTCAGTAGTGCTTGCTTGTGATGTTATATCAAGGTATTGCGATACCAAACCTCGTAGTAAAAGTACATATAGCTTTGTTGACCGTTAATTATCAGAATTCTTAGACTGATGTCGTCTGAAGGTCAACTTTGTGTAAGTCGATTCGCTGTCAAGTGCAACATCCTAATGACTAACATTGATTGGTTGATCCCACCAATCGGAGGCCGCGCACAAAAACACTGAGTCCGTCGTACCTGCAGAAGTTCTCCGCGTAATAGCGGCGTAATGAAAGCAGGGACCGTTTTGGTAGGTCATGCGACCGTTAAATCACCTTGCCAAAAATTGATTCTCAGGGCTGGAAATCAGGCAGGCGCGATCGCCGATTCTTCGAGAGAAAAGACAAGAACGTTTCGGAACTTTACTGAAGTATCTTGAACCTTCCCTCGCTTGCCCACCATCGCTCTTGCCTCTCGCAGCACTTATAGGACGCGCTTTCCCAATCCGCCACGAAAACGATCTATTACGCCGGACTGCTTCTTCCAAAAGCAACCGACCCCAACACATTACTGGCGCATACGACGTGTCACTCTGGAAAAGGCGGTTTCAAAGCAAAAAGTCGACTTCACATTGAGGTTCAATTTTCGGGCAAAACTACGTGCGATGCGGCGATAGCAGCAGGGCGGACCCAAATAACGCCGACGTCATTCGCTTTCTCCACCAAACTGTGCGTGACAACACATCGTCGCCTGCCATGAGGGCCGCAATGGTTTGCGGTTTCGCCCTCCATATCGCGTCGCTACTCGCAAGAGAAGATTCAGGCCAATCTGTCCTTGGCGACCATGACGACATTGACCGCTCTGGCAGTGGTGGCCGCAGTGGTGACTTTCGCGGAGTGACAGAGGCACGACCGGCTGCTGTTGTCCCAGAGGAGACGGCCACGGCAGCCGGGCCTGAGCGACCACCTGCCCCTTTGTCGGCACCTGAGTCGGCGCTGGCAGTGCCATTACCCGTCTTCTTGTCGCTGGAGCGCTACGCACGGATGGTCGATGTCACGTACTGTGTGGGCATGACAGGCTCGGGCATTTCACAACCGTTCTCTTGCGCTTCACGATGCGCAGACTTTCCTGAGCTCCGGCTCGTCGCGACATGGAACACGGGCGTCCTGATGCGCGACAGTTGCGGTTACATTGCCGTCGATGACAGCGCCCGCGAGATCATTGTGGCGTTCCGCGGCACGTACAGTATCGCCAACACGGTTGCCGACCTGAGCACGATCCCGCAGAAATACGTCCCCTACGAGCCAGGCGAGGGCGAAGACGAAGACGCCGATGTTGCCAGGCGAGCCAAGTGCACGAACTGCACGGTCCACATGGGTTTCCTGGCCTCCTGGGAGAGCGCGCGCAGTCTCATTCAGCCGATTGTCGCCGAAGCCCGGCACCAGTCGATGAACTCGTCGCCGCTGCTCGCTGCCCCAGCCGCCCCCTACCGTGTCCATCTCATTGGCCACTCTCTGGGAGGCGCCGTAGCCGCTCTTGCGGCGCTGGAGATGAAGGCTGTCCTTGGCTGGGAGGATGTTCAGGTCACGACCTTTGGCGAGCCGCGCGTAGGCAACCTCGGATTCGCGAAATTCCTTGAAGGCGTGTTTAACCTGCGCTCGAACACGGCGACAAAAGAACCGAAGGAACCGACTGTGGCGGACGCGTACCGCCGTGTCACGCACAAGAACGACCCCGTCCCGCTACTGCCGTTGTCCGACTGGGGCTATCGTTCTCATGCAGGCGAGATTTTTATCACAAAGGTGAGCCTGTCACCAACACCAGAGGACGTCATACAGTGCCGGGGCCGGAGTGACCCGGCATGCAGTGACGTGGACGGCGAGCATGACGGCTCTGGCGAAGAGACGTCCGCTTCGACGCGCAAAGGTATTATCCCGCCCAATCTGAAGCTATGGGAGCTCTTCTTTGCACACCGCGATTACTTCTGGCGCCTGGGTCTATGTCTTCCTGGCGGCGATCCCGCGGACTGGGGCGGCGAGCGGTACAACTACACCAACGACGAGCTGTGAACAAATGAATATTTGGTTCGGCACCGTGATTTCCAATCGTTTGTGTTTACTTGAGTCTATTTGAAGGCGTTTCTTCATACCAAGCATGTATTCCCAGCGTCATCGGTTTCGAGTCTTTCCTTTTTGCGCTGTATATATCTAGTGCTCTACTGCTGCTTACTGTTTTTTTTTTTTTTGGTCCCTCATACACCAAGGTAGCTGAAATTGCAAGGACCAAAAGTATGGAGATAGCCAAACATGTGTCACGATTACGTTTGTTGATAAGTTCGAACCTTGATGTGGTAGGTGAATGACGTAGCGCGCGCTTCCGCTTCCTTGATATTAGAGTCCACCCGTGCAGGACGAAGACCAACATCAGCGCCGCTGGCCTGAAGGCAGGACAACGCGGGAGCCAGCCCAAACAAAACAAGCCTGGCATCCTTCTCATAGCTGGTCGTGGTGGTACTGGATGTTTGCTTTCTTTGTTTACCTCGCGCCCCGTCTTAGCGTTTGTGTTTGGTTCTGCCTTGTCACCTGTTTACAGCGTTGCGTTTGTTCTTTATGAGCGAATGACAGCCGCTTTTTTGGCTAGTTTGGTGAGTTTTGACTGATTGGATGATAGGCTCCTGTTCTGTGGTAGCCAAGCAAACACATCATTTCCCGCTTTTGCCGTCAGCATTGTATCAACACGCCTTGAACCAATCTGCATGGTCTGAATGGCCTGATAGAACGTGGCATGCAGGCTGCCGCCGTGAACCGTACGGTATGGGGTGGGAGCGTGACGGAAAAAAAAAAAAAAGAAAAAAAATGAGCGAAAATAAAAGGAATTGGCTATAAGTGGCCGGCGGCCAAGCTGGCGGTGATGACATGTCCTCGTGACAGGCCCCATCATACCCACATCTGAGCCCGAAAAGGCGAAAGCCGGCCCAAAGGTGGGTGTGGTGTGCGTTGAGAGACACGCCGTCGCCGCATCCGCCTTCAGCCTGGGCCCTGCTTCCTCTTCCTGGTAAAGTTGGCTGTGCTGTATTGGAGTATCGTTGCATGCTGCAAAGTTGTTGGAAAGTCTGCAGAAAAGACGCAACGCTCTGTCCAAGTCGTTCAGTTTCAACAAGCATGGACTGGCGTATCACTAGCGAAGACGTATCTCGCCGACGTATCTCGCCACAAACAACAGCTGCCGAAAATGCGGTGCGAATCAGGAGCTGGCAAACAAGACAGAACTGCGATGTTCGCCAAAGAAAGTCTTTTGGATAAGGGAACAAGGCTGGGGCACATCCTGGCCGAGGTCGCGTGTTTGGCGCAATGACCCACCATCACGAGACGACACAGGCAGGTGCGATCTAGACGTACAAGTCTGGGAGAATAGGGCAGGAACAACGCTTCAGTCAACTGCCTTCATTGTTAAGAGGTTGCAATTGTTGATGTGCCGTGCGTTTGATATGGAAAAGCACGCGGGCGAGACTTGGCCTCTTGACTGTTTGCATTTGTTTCAACTGTTTCACGTCTGTTGTGTTGCTTGGCGCTGCCTTGTTTCCCACCTCTCCGTTGTTTTCGTTTCGTCTCCAACGCTCTTTCCCGCACAGCTGTCAACTGCCCCGCCCGCTTTCACAGACACTGCCTCTTGCTCAACGTTCCCGAGCGCGACGGGCAAATGCGGTAACGGCTGTGGTCTTGTGTGTTCTGGACGGCATAGATGCGCCCGGCTCTTGCCCTGCTTTGCCTGTATTCCTCACCGTTTGATGACCCCACTTGTCCTGGTTGGCCTCTCGCTCTCAATCTTCGTTCCTTCCCTCAGTCTCGTCCTGCCCCAAATACGTCGTAATATTCTGTATGTGCTAAGCCTAAAACAACCAAAGGCGCTCAGGCCCATCTTCCTCTGTCTGTCGTTGGTCCTCAGGGCCTAGCCAGGACCCAGTCCAGGTACTTTTGTGCTAGACACTGCTCGCAAACGGCCTCTCTGCCTGCACAGAGGTCGCACCGCGGAAGGAAGCCTATTAGCGGCGTTTCCACCAGGAGGCCGCGACCTCACTGCTGGCTGGCCATCTCCCGTGCCTCGAACCTTCCCTCTTCGCTCGTTGGCCAGTCTTCGCTCGCCCCTCCCTTTCGCACTGGCTCTCTCCCTATCTCATCTCCCCCCTCCTTTCCGTTTCTTGCGTCGCTCCTGCAGTTTCTCCGCCAGCGCAGCAGGAACCGCCCCATGCACACGTCTCCTTCCCCCTCGCAAGTTGGTAGAAAGTAGAAAATAATAATATTAAATTGACTACGAAAAAATACACACCACTTGCTGTACAACAACCCCCCTCCCCCAAAAAGGACTTCATCTCACACAACACAATCCTCATCTCAACGTACCCAACTCCGTCCACTTCGATCTCCCCCACCACAACATCTTTTCTTCTACCGCCGCCGATTTACATCCGCATCCTCCCTTTTTCACTCTCGACACAACTGTCCTCGCCGTATCCAACAAAGCCCTTTTTCCCCAGCAGACTCCTCTGTTCCAGATAAGACGAAACAATGGCAAGCGAGGTAAGGACATGCTCCCTCTCCCTATTCCCCCCCTTTCGACCCCCAGGCCCTCCCCGGCCTTGTCTTGCATCGATCGGCCTGTATTGCACCGGCACGGCCTCATGTAATCCGTTTTATGTCTGGCCACATCGCCTGCCAAATCCCACCCCACGCGTCCGCCTGGGCAACGATGGTTATCTTTTCCTGTCTCCCGGCAGCATATTATGACAGACACCTCCACGTCGAAGACGATGCCGTGGAGGTTCAGGCTCGCCTTGCCGATGTCTCCCATCTCCAGCGTCGGTGCTTAGTTGGCTGTGATCTGGCCTTGGTCCGGCAGCCGCCCGCGTTTGAAAAGCTGTCTGCTAACATTATTATCTCTCTTTACTAGCGCGACAAGTATGTTCCTACACCCCTGCCTTCTAATCACACATTCGTTTGTTTGTTACTCCGTACTGGAATATCGAGAACGAAACATTTCCGGCCTCAGCCCCTCCCATGGCTGCCGCAGCACACCGCTGTGCGCCTTAGGGAGGGGAAGCAAGGGGACAGGGCGAGAAGTGAACGGAGAGAACGGGAGATTCTGCGCCTGATCGTACGCAAGACACAGATGCTGACTTTACGCTTTTTTTTTACAGCAAGACCTTCCTGGCTCGCCTATGCGAGCAGGCTGAGCGTTACGATGAGATGGTTACCTACATGAAGGAGGTTGCCAAGCTGGGCGGTGAGCTGACTGTCGATGAGCGTAACCTTCTCAGCGTGGCTTACAAGAACGTTGTCGGCACCCGCCGTGCCAGCTGGCGCATCATCTCGTCCATCGAACAGAAGGAGGAATCTAAGGGCTCCGAGAAGCACGTTGGCACCATCCGCGAGTACCGTGACAAGATCGAGGCCGAGCTGGAGAAGGTCTGCCAGGATGTCCTGGATGTTCTCGACGAGAGCCTGATCCCCAACGCTGCCAGTGGCGAATCCAAGGTTTTCTACCACAAGATGTGCGTCCCAGAAGCTGCCTTTAAAATTATAATTTTTTTTGTGATACCCCATACCCCTGGGTGTGACCGACCGTCCTCTTACTAACTGCTGGGCAGGAAGGGTGACTACCACCGCTACCTGGCAGAGTTCGCCTCTGGCGACAAGCGCCGCGGTGCCGCGACGGCTGCCCACGAGGCATACAAGAGCGCTACCGACGTTGCCCAGACCGAGCTGACCCCGACGCACCCCATCCGCCTCGGCCTGGCCCTGAACTTCTCGGTGTTCTACTACGAGATTCTGAACTCGCCCGACCGTGCGTGCCACCTGGCCAAGCAGGCCTTCGATGACGCCATTGCCGAGCTCGACTCGCTCTCGGAGGAGTCATACAGAGATAGCACCCTGATCATGCAGCTCCTGCGCGACAACCTGACCTTGTGGACGTCGTCGGATGCCGTCGACGCCGAGACCACTCCTGCCGAAGCCGCCAAGGAGGAGGAGAAGGCTCCCGCTGCCGAGACGGAGGAGTCTGAACCCAAGGCTGCCGAGCCCGAGCCGGAGGCTGCTTCGTAAAGCATACTTCCGCCCCCCTCTCGACCTGCTTTAGAATCCTAATCCCATATCTGAAAAAAAGAAAGAATTCTTGAACACAGACAAGCGCTACAATGAAGACGGCCGGGCCGGATCTCGATTAGGAAGGGACTGCGTTCGCGATTGGTACTCTGCCGAATGCCTGCCAGTTGGGCTTGTTTCAGCCTGTCCTTTGTTACTTGTTCTCTCTTTCTTACACCTCCCCTTGTTTTTGTTTCTGTGTGGTTTCTTCGCTTCTGTCTTGTCCTTTCTCGCGCGCGTATTTGTTTACCAATATGGTTTATTTTATTGTTTTTGACCCCGCCATATGGTCTCTGTACACCAGAGAGTAGCTCTCCTACATTTCGGCAATACCTGCCTTTGCCGCCAGCTTCTTGCTTGTGGACGGAAAGGGGGAGGGATGCAATGCAGAAGAGGCGAGAAATGTAGGGGAAAACGTTGGGTGTGTCAATGTTCCAGTTGACACCGTTCGCCAGTACCTGCGGGAGAGGAGTGTGGTCATGTTTTTTTTGTGTTTGTTTCCTCCTTTCTTCTTTTCTTATCAATCTCCCGGTTTCCGGGACACAACGGGGCAAATCCGGGTTCTTCCAGGAGCAGCTCACCCAACGACAACCGAGATGCGGCGCCCACGACAATCGCTCTTCTTCTCCTGGTCCCGATGATTTCTTTTGCTACACTATCGTCTTTCCGAGATATATCCTTTCCTTAAAGCTTGCCCCATTCTAAACCTTATATTTCCCATCTCTCACTTTGCTCGTCTTGATCTTGCTTGGTGTGCATGTGTCTATGTTTACGTAAATCGTTTGTACGACGGGGCTGCCTCTTCTTCCTTGATACGCAGAGAGACAGACGTGGACGATTGATGCCTACGTCGGCTTGTCTTTTTGGTTCAACCTAATTTACTATCATTGTATCTGACTTTATATGTGCGGCGAGAAGTCCAAAATATGCAATGGGCGGGTTTGCAGCTCTGCATCTCGTCGCCCCCAGCGTATCTGTTTCCATCCAACCTTGTATGACCACATCAAAGCTCTCTCCTGACTCAAGCCATGCTTCTTTCACTTGACTCGCCGGGTATCTATGCCGGACAAATGCAAACAAACTTTGTGCTTCCAAAAAAGACCAAACGACCAAGCTACACAATAGAAAATAACAAGGAGAAGATACTAATGAGGGACAAAACGGAAACGTCCGCTTCCGATGTAATGCAATGCTTCGTCTTGACAACGCTACTTGGATAAGCCGCTATACTGTGTTGTGTAATAAATATGGTTGCAACGTTCGAATTTCGACGTTCGGATTTCTTCCTTCTGCTGGGTCTTGTACCTTTTGCACATCCTTAAAACATCTTGGCTAGGCGCGAGCCTCGCACTGGCGCGGGCAAACATGCAGCAAACCGATCACGCTCTAAAGAAAAAAGTTAGCACCATGACAAGAAGATTTCTTAAGAAGCCTAAGACAACGAGGGAAGAGGAGAGAATAGCACTACTGACCTGTTTCCTTGTCGAACAAGATGGAGATGTCGTCGTGCTCGCCAGGTAGGTCGGGCATGTCGAGACACACAAACGCAGTCTCACTGTGGCTCATGACTCGGTCATCAGCATTGCCGCCACCGCCACCGCTAGCTCCGCTGTCTGAACCGCCGCCTCCATTGCTCGAGTCGGCAATTGGAACGCGCGGAAGCGGGAACTTGGCATCGTCAAACTTTATTCCAGCCTTGCTGCCACGGCCGAAGGCCTCGAACACGTCGGTTCCCTTCAGAACGAAGCTCATGCAGTGGCCGTAGTGGAAGTCCTGGAAGAACGCTAGAAGCTGGACGACCTTGGTGTCTGGGTTCGCGACCACTTGAATACGCGTGTGTCCTGCTTCCCACTTTTTGTGGATGGGTACAACCATGCGGCGCCGTGCAATGCCAAATGTCGTGGCCACGCCATCAAACAGAACCTTGTAGCCCGTGATGGCTTGCTGGACAACGTGCAGGTCTGTGAGGGTCGAGAAACGCAACGCCCGGCACGTCGGATAGGACTTGGCGACGCGCAGGCCATCAGCCAGGCCGCGGCCAATTTCTCTCGGCACCTGCACGTCTGACACCGCTACGGTAAAGTCCTGCTGCGCCTGGCGCACGAGGACCAGAGATGTGTTGTCCTGTACATCGAGGCGGATCTTGAGTTCGCCTGGGGCTGCATTAATACGGTCGACCACGGTGCAGTCGCCAAATTCAAAAACCATCCGCAGGTGCTCGGCAAGGACGGTAGGTGGTTTCGTTCCATCGAGACCGTCATCGACGTTGATCACCCGCAGTCGCTTGAACGCCAGTTGTTTGAAAGCTGCGAGAGCCTTGTTGCTACTGGCGCCGGCAACCGCACCACCCTTTGATGCAACGCGCATGTCTAGTGATGAGAAAGGAACATCAGCGGTAACTTGCTCGTCGGGCTGCAAGGCTGTACCAGTTAAGAGGCTATGAAACTCGGCGCGCTCGTCAGTATGGCCGAAGGTGAGGACCATGCTGCCCTTTGTGCGGTTATTTTCGAAGCGTAGCAGCAACGCCGGGTCGCCCTGGTCGCCCCGTAAGAAACTAAACTGCACTGGCACGTCCGGAAGGTAGGAATGAGATATGCCGTACAACGTCCGGGTGCGCGTACCGGACACGACAGCAACGCGGAATCCTCGGTGGTAGTAGCGCCGCCCCGTTGCCGCGTTCTCTTGTAGCGTCTTTGAGAACAGAGCCACATCACAGTCGGGTACAGCCTCCTTGGGGAAACTGCCGGTTGGCGCAGAAGATTCAAAGTACTGGAACGCCTTGAGCGTTGAGCGGAAGATGGGGTTCTCGCCACTGCGTGGGTAGAGCTGACTATGGATCTTGGAGCCAAAATCATACATGCTCCACAAAAGACCATAGTCCTGCTTGGACAGTTGGATGGCAAGAATGAAACCGCGCGGTAGCCGGACCTCAAGCGAATAAAGATCGGACCGCCAACGTACGTCTTCCCAGTTGGGCCCTGGATTCTTTCGACCTTGAACACGTAACTGCACATTTTCATTTTGGCTGGAGACCACAATCTCCAGCATTGCAGAGCTCTGAGGGCGAGCCACGCTCAGCATACAAGGAAAATGAAATTTGCTCGACGGGTGCGGAGACGACTCTCGGTCTTTCTCCATCAGATACACGTCTGCCCACATCCGGCTGAAAATGAAGTCATCAGCGGTGTCTGCAATGGGCAGTGACTCGAGCATTGCCATCCGAGGACCAGAGACGGGCGACGCAGCCAGACTGGACGTCCAGTTGCCCTGCAAGAGAGCGATAATATCGGAACTGACAGGGGGGTATGTCGCCCAGATTGTCTTATCGATGATTGCTGGAAGGAAGGCGTCCTCAGGCGGCAAAATATTGTTGCGTTTCATGGAAACGGCAAGCTTGCGCAGGTTGTACAGCAGAGCCGTACGGACCTGTTCAGGCTCACCACCAGCAGGCGAAGGCACATCGAGCAAAATCTCGCCAGCTAGCCAGTATGACTTGGCCAAGTCAGCGAAGGCCTGCTGCATAGCAGCTTCGTTGGCCCGCGATACTGGCGAGTCGGCACCGGGACCTTGGGCTGACCGCTCTCGAAACGCATTCTCGAGACCCATTCTGCCGATGATAAACCACCACAAGGCGGCGCGGGCCAGTTCCTCAGCGGAACTGGATGAAAGAGGGTGTATTGTCTCAGATTGCAAGCGGAACAACTCGAACAAGTGGCGAGACCGGGCAATAAACGTATTAATAGCGTCATCTCCAGCAGCCTGAACGACGTCGTGAAGATCGGCCATTGGTGGTCGAGGCGAGGTTGCAGAGCCACCAGACGTCGCAGAGTAGACCGATGCAGAGTCGTCGTCGTGCTCCCTGTTCGATAGTCGGCTGTTGGCATTTTGGCGGAAGGAACCATAAGCCCGATGCACGGCAGAAGTTGGAGAGGCCATCGACGGGGGACTGTACTCCTGTGCAGCTTGCCTGGCGCGAGAGGCGAAGGAACTGCCGTCGGGGGTGGACGCCGTTGAGGGTGGTGGTAGAATAGGGGAAGCCTCTGTGTTTTGGGGCGCGAGAGCCGGCTGCGTAATGCCGTGTCGGGGGTTCCGCGGAGGCGGCAAAGAGGGCGGTGGTGTCATCTTTGTGGGCGAGTACCTGATGGGCGATACCGGCTTCTTTTGATCGACTTCGGGGCTCGACGGCGGGCTGACGCCATCTCGTGAATTTTGGAGCAGAGCTCGACCCTCGGCCTCACGCATTTCTGCTTGGTGAATCTCGATAAACGACCGGCGTTTCTCATCCCGGCCTAATGACGGATCACCAAGGAACGGATCAACTGCTAATTGCCTGGCGGGTATCTTTTCCGGCACGGCCTGCGGTTTCCGTTCCGGTGAGACGCTTCGGTGGTCTTCCCGCGGCGACGGCTCAGAGATTGTAGAGTAGCCAGTCTGGGTCCTACGAATGGGAGGTGGTACGAAGTTGTCGCTGTCGAAAGGTCGTTGCTGTTGTTGTGGAGGTGCATTTTGGGGTGGGATTGGCGGTAGAGGTGATCGCAAAGGCAGGGAACGAGAAGACGCGGCAGACATTGGTACAGAGGTGTCGGAATTCGGCAACGGAGCGACTTGCGGGCGCGCTTGCCGGACACTGTTTGTCCGTCGCCACCTGCCAATTTCCGATGGTGGTATGTCGGACTCATCACCACCCTCGCCAATAATCTCCGGGTAGGTATCGACAAACCGAACCGCCAGGCCCTTAACGCCGGGGCGTCTCTGCTTCGGTGTGTAGTGGCTGGAAGATATTGGGCTGTGAGATGCACCTGTAACGGGGACGGCATTAGGATAGCGCGATATGGCTCGTGTGTCTAATTTGGTCAGCTGGGGCGGTGCCGAATGTGCCACTTGGAAGCCGTCGAATGAAGGCCTCGCTGTGGTAGATGAGCGCGGAGAGGATGCGCTCGGAGCCGCGCTGGACGGCCCGTGCAGAAAGGCATTGATCTCGTCGTCGCCGCCACTATCACGCAGCTCGTTGGACGTTTTGCGGTCGCGGCCGCCAAAGAGCTTGCCCATTAGGCGGCCCTTGCGTGACCGCGGGTCGTCTATGCCATGCGCCGCGGCGGGGCCATGGTCTCGGTCCATAGCAGGTTGCTGCCGAACGGGGAAAGAAGGGAAAGAAGGAAAATCTGGCGGGTGTTATCGAGATTGTATGGGTGCGGGGGTTTATAGTTGTGACTGCAAAAGGAGCCCGCCTTTGTCATTTATATTATGACTTTCTGAGCTTGCATGAGAATGGCCGTCATGAGAGGAAGGAAAGGCGACCGGTGGTGCGTTAGAGCGGTCAAACCGGTCAAGGACGAGGCCGTGCAAGGGAAGGAAAGAAGAGCCAATGTCCTCTGCTTCTTATTCTCTCGAGCATAGACTGCCGAGTAACTTCACAAGATTGCGGAGGCCTGTGTCGAGAGCCGCAGCAATGACAGAAAGCCACTGCCCAGGGTCGTTGGGGTAGAGGTGGTGAGACGGTGCTCGAGTTCGGCCACGGTCGACAAGGGCAGTGCCGACAATGCGAGGGTCCTGCGGGATTGTTGTCGTCGTCCAGAATCTGCTGGCCGCCGCAGTCGTCTTTCTGGGCCAATTCCGAGAAAGAGGCTGGATTAAGCAAAGGTCCGCGTGCTCTCGGCGCGGGAGTGTGTGCGGGGGAGGGCGGGAGATACGGTGAACGAAGACAAAGAAAGGTGCCCGACCAAGTCGGGTGGGGAGACGGTAAGGGTTCGTCGAGATTGCGGTTCAATGTCTAGTCGTGCGTTGCTGAGGAGTATGGAGTGGTGTGAGTTGGGTCAACTGTGTTGTGGGCAGTAGACCTGTGAATATGTTTTGATCGGGTGGCTCTTTCTTGTGCGGCCCCACTGTGTACGTCGTACTTGTTGTTTCTGTCGCTCGATCGCCCTCCTGGGCTGTCCTTTCCCTGCTCCTGTTGCCCTCCTGCTTTGTTTCAGGACAAGACAGCCAAAAGAGGGAAACTGCGATGGGCGAGGCTTACAGGGAACGAGGGAGGGGTGGGAGGCAGGAACAGGTCACCCCTCCTTTACTCCGCTCTCCACTATTATTTCCCTCTAATGAGGATAAGATATGTCGCAGACCTGTTGTCCTGTCGCTTTTCTAGACGTTTTATGGAGCCGTTTGAGGCAGCGACAAAGTACGCCGCAAGATACCGGTATCTGTCTGGTCTTCGATTGGTGTGGCCAGCTGGAGACCATGTCGTGAGATCCAAATGTGGATGTGGAATGCCCAAGGAAGGATGTTTTGTCGCAAAAAGGACATCCGAATGCAAGAAGGGACTAGGGGGAAGGACGCGACCATGTACACTCATATGGGCTGAAGATTAAAATAGCCATGCCCGAGAGGACAGGAGCGGAAGCTACGATGCAACAGAAAAGCGGAATACCTAGCAGGAGCGACATATCATTATAGAGGAATGTTGCCACTTTGGGCGGTGCCAGGAAAGGGAGGCAAGAACGACGTACGGAAGTCCGTCCCTAGGGAACAGAGAAAAGGCCTGTTATACCTTTTAAAATAGGATGCAAGGAGTTCACTCCGTACGACGTCCGAGCCCTTCAGATAGCCATATCTGGTTTCTTGTTCAATTCAACGAGCATCAACACATCCAGCACCCCTAATCTACCCAGGCCACCGAACCGGAAGCCGTTTAGATACCTCCCGTCCAAAGGTGACAGTTAGCGAGGTGCTAAATACGACAACCGACGGAATGTCCTCTCCACTGACAACACAGGTACCGCAAGCGCCATTCGATGGCCAAAAGGGGAGCAACAAGAGACGGATTCAGGGTCGAACACGAAAGCTGTGGAATGCCAAAGAGCCCCCTTTGCAAAGACACTTTGTAGTTGGAGGTTGTGGTTGCTGTATCATCTGGCTGTATATCAGCATTTGGAACTACGGCAGATATTCGATATGGACGATTGTCGCAGTTACGATGTCGTACCGCGCAGGTGGCCTCGCAATGCGCCGCTCGCATTTTCATTCACGTTCCAGTTGGGCAGTGGCTGCCCTGTTTGTGCCCTGTTTGTGCCCTGCTTAGTCGTGCAGGTCGTTATATCCCTTGGATGTAAATATTGGGCAGTGGACGTTATCTTGAGAGAACCCAGTCGAGCCAGTCAGCCAGTTCACAATCCCAGTCAGAAGGAGTCCAGGCTCGTGCTTGTCTCTCGATTTAGCCGTCCGCTAGTGTTGCTCCAGTGCCTGTCGCCAGGTCTTTTCCAACCGGTTTTGGTCGTGCAAAGATGCCCTCTTTTACAGCATGTAGTGAAACGAGGCTGCTAGCCAGGAAACAAAGCATGGTGGAGGAAAGGTGGCAGCTCGACGGGTGTAGCATAAAAAGCCGACAGACGAAGATGATAAAGAAGAGACGAAAAGGAGAAACGGGGCGCTGCAAGGACTGACAGCCGCGTTCTGGGAGGGGACCCTTTGTATCCCCGCTGTTCCGTCACACAAATCAGAAGGAAGGCTGGGAGGCAAAAGACGGGACGATCCACCTTGATGTACGAAGCTGTGCCTGGCTCTTGACTCGATGGAAAGCAACAGTCGCTCGGTGGCTCAGTTTTGTTCCCGCACATACACAAGTCTCTTTAAGGTTCCCAGTCTTCGACTTGCAGTTTCTAATGAATTCAGTGTATGGCCATGTAATTGGATAATGTATTACAAAGTTCCTTAATTGTTGTGTGTAATTGCCTGTGTCCCAGAATATCGCCATGTTTCGCGTAGAATGCCCCCTGTTTCCTCGACGTGATCCATCAGCTGATAAAATACCTCCCCACGTGATGCATATTCTGTCAGTTTCCCATGCGACGTAGCTGACCTTCTTCCCACGGGCCTTGCATGTCTCTTTTGCTAACCAGCATCGACATTATACGGTGTATAAACATACTCTGCAGCTTCTTAGACATCCAAACCGCGCCAGGATGGGATCCTTCGCTCGAACTAGACATCTGTCGGCCAGCGAGACTGGAAGCAATCAACTTTAGCGAAAAAATCAGAAAACCATCAGAGTCTGTGAAGCGACAAAGGCCCCGGCCAATTTTGTATATCCTGTGCGAGAACGACAGAGGGCAGATTCTTTATCTGGCATAGTGCCAGGCATCCACATTTTGTTACACTGCTTCTTTCTACTTCGTACAGACCGCACCTTTACAGATATGCGGCGGCTGTCCCAAAACGATTGATGTTTGTCAGCCAGGCTCAAGAAGCTGCACATCCTATGTCTTGCGTGTCGTGTGTCGTGTACCATGTTCTATGAGACAATTGAGCTCATTGTTGCTCCTTTCGACATCCCGACTTGCTCACACTGCCGACTTCAAGTGTAGCATTTAGCAGATGTAAATCGTCAAGAATGCTAGCAAGGCTGTGGTGTTGGATCTGCAAGTAAGAGGCCGCCCTCGCCACCCCCTGGGCAAGTTCCTTATTGTCGTCACTGGCGAAAACGGTGATTTCCGCTTGTCGTCGTCAGTGGCAGACATCCCAGACGCCTGTGTCAGGGTTGCCAAGGAATAAAAGAATCCCAAGAGGGAGTTGAGATCCTCCGAGTGGATCGAAATGTGTATCGTACTCCAAAAGTAAAATAAAACGTGCCTCAGACCAGCTCTGCGTGAGGTTGCTTCTGCATGCTGCCTCACCCTGTAAGATAGCTTCTGGATATCGGCCCCAACAAGTCGTGTGGCGCAGTGCAGAAGGACCATATCCTGGCGCAATGGCCGGATTTGGGACTGTTGGCACGACTTAACTGCACTTATTGCTGCACCTATTGCTGCACGTTTCTATCGGATACACCACAAACAGCGGCCTCCTTGTCAGCAATACATTGTCGCCAGTCGCTCTTACCCCTCTGTCACAGACAGATCGTAAATTTGGAGATAAAGGCAAGAAACCTTTCTCATATTAATTTAGGCACCGTTTTGGCAACTACGACCAGACAACTCAGTAAGCTCCTTTCTCCTTCAACGTGCTCTTGGCCTAGCCGAAATGCGCCTGAAACCGCGCCGGCTTGGACCTTGGACGGGAACTTGTAGCGAGGCCTTGAGCTCGTTCATCTGGCGGCGCTTATTGGCGTGCGGTGCACGGTCGCTGTGATTCTCCGATCCTGGAGACGAAGACTTTGACCAAGACTTTGACCATCCGCAACGTCATTCATTGCCCCGCAGCTGAGAGCAAGAAGCACTCTGGCACTCCCTTCGTTCCTTCCCCTCCTGTCCCACCCTGTCTCGGGATCGCTCATTCGCCCACCGCGACCATAGCTAGCAAGGCGCTGCTTCCCAACGAGCCAGAGGTAAGGCTCCCAGGACGTGGGAATCGCGGCAAACGTAAGGCAATCGGTAGTCTAACGGTCTCCGTAACACCGCAGAGTGGGAAAGAACCACCGTGAGGGGCCCCGCCAGGCAACTGCGTGAGAGACGAAAGAAGAAAATAAACGTGCTTGGGCTGCGCTTTCCGTCCGTTATAGCTGCTTTATGCAGAGTGGAGCGTGGATCTTTTGCGATTCACATTCCTCCGTCATCACCTTTTCCCACTACCCCAGCGTTCTTTGCTGACTAGACGCTCTGTTTTCCCTTCTGCCTTGGCACTCCCAACGCTCCTAACGCTTCTATCGCTTCTACCGCTTCTCTATTTCGTCCTTCCGAATCTTTAGTTTGCTCTGTATCTCTTGCTCCTTTGCAGACTTCTTTTAGCAATCCATCTTGGCCTCTCTCCATTTTCGTGGCCTTCATCCTCCAATTCGAGTATCATCTTCGGCTCGTTTCTCCCAGTCGATTTCGCTCTCCTCCGTCTCACTCCCGCCTTAGTGCAGAGCACGCTCTTTACTGCCAACGGCTCTCGACTGCGTCGTCAAAAGCCCACCGTTGGAAAGGGCGCTTTAGATAGAGTGCTCCAGATCTCTCCAAAATGCTCAATTTGGTATCTGGCTCTCGCCGCAGGGCGACGTCAAGCGCAAGTATGTATCTAGCTCCATTCCAAGTTTGTGCTTCTTGCCTCTGGCCAAGAGACGGAACGAGTGTTTATCCCCGCTCATGCAAGCTTGGTGGACGCCGACTCGGAGCCTCCGGAGGCTCCGGAACTCATGGCCATCATCATCAAAGTTCAGGTAGCTAACAGAAGCTCTGTCGTTTTTTCCTCCTCGTTTAGGTGCCCACTCCAACCGATCGTCTGACGAAAACAACGGACAAGGCGACGATGATACCCTCGTTGTCGAGCCCGATCAGGGCAACGGTAAGGACGCTCTACGACAATACCCAGGTCGCCCTTAGCTCCCATACTGTCTTTCCTTGGACTCAGCTAAACCCCACACCTAGTCCTCATGCACATTATCTCCCAGCTGCGTCCCGGTGCCGACTTGAGCCGAGTCGTCCTCCCAACCTTCATTCTGGAGCCACGCAGCATGCTGGAAAGGATAACAAAGTATGTTGAGAGAGCTACATATCGTGCCATGTGAGAGACAGAAAGAGCCCCGCTGACGTTGTGTCCAGCTTCATGTGCCACCCTGAGATGCTCCTACCCATCCCCAATATTGAGGACCCAACCGAGCGCTTCGTATCCGTCGTCAAGTTCTACCTGAGTGGCTGGCACATCCGTCCTCCGTACGTACTGCCCCATCTACCCGTATATGCGTTTACATTGCCATGTTCTTCAAAACTAATTTAATGTGTTTTTTGTTGGCAGAGGCGTAAAGAAGCCTCTCAACCCTATTTTGGGTGAAATCTTCTCTTGCTACTGGGACTTCCCCGACAACACGCGCGCCTATTATATCTCTGAGCAGACCTCTCACCACCCTCCTAAGTCGAGCTACTTCTACATGGTCCCGGAATACAACATTCGCGTCGATGGCACGCTCAAACCCCGCAGTCGCTTCCTGGGCAACTCGGCCGCCAGTCTGATGGAGGGTACCGCGATCCTGAGCCTTCTGAACCGCGGCAAGGATGGCAAGCCGGAGAGATAGTATGTCTACAGTCTGCCGTACGCTCTTTTGGTCTTTATTTTTTCTATGAATGGTAACTGACCTCCACCTGCAGCATCCTGACACAGCCCAACATGTATGCCCGGGGCATTCTTTTCGGCAAGATGAAGTACGAGCTTGGCGATCACAGCTTCGTCCGCTGCCCAGAGCTCGGCCTGACCGCCGACATTGAGTTCAAGACCAAAGGTTGGGTTGGCGGCACCTACAATGCTATTGGGGGCACGGTCAAGAACGAAAACACCGGCGAAGTCCTGTACGAGCTCTCCGGGCTCTGGAGCGAGGAGATGACGATTAAGAACGTCAAGACTGGCCACAAAGACATGTTTTTCAACGCGCTGAAGTCCAAGCCTTCACCGCCCTCGGTCCGCCCCATCGAAGAACAAGAGGCCAGAGAGTCGCAGCGGCTGTGGCAACGGACGGCCTCTGCCGTGAAAGAGCGCAACCACGAGCTCGCAACAGATGAGAAAACCAAAGTCGAGGATATGCAGCGTGAGGAGGCTGCTGCTCGGACCCAAGACGGCGTCGAGTGGACCCCGCGCCTCTTCCGGCGGGTCAACGGCGGCCCCGGTGGCTCCGAGGAAGGCGAGGAAGATCTGGAATGGATCATCAATGCGCAAATGTACAGTGACCCCGTTCGTTCGCATGTGCACATTTGTCTTTCAATATCGCCGAACTGGCCGCTAACAATTTGCAGTGATGGCGAAACGCCGCAAGCCCAGGCGGACCAAATCCTTGCCATATACCCCGTGCTGCCCGGCCAGACGTCGAAGCGCGAAAGCAAAATTCCCATCATCCCTGCTCACAAGTCTGTCGAAAAGTCTCCTGGCGCGACCGCCAGCAATACCGGCGCTGCAGGTGCATCAGGTGCTGCTGGTGCTGCCGGTGCTGCCAATGCCGCCGGTGCTGCCTCAACCCCTGCAGTAAAGAGCGGCGACCTGATTGATGTCGGGGATGGCGAATCTTCCAAGCCTTCTGCGGCGCCACTGGCCAGCGATGGCGCCGACAAGATCTCAGAGCTGCTGTCTTCGACGGGCAAGCCGGCGCCCGCAGGCCCGCTCATGGACTTCAACAAAGACCTGGACAAGCACCTACCTACAATTAAGCGTTCTGACACGAGCGGGTCGCAAGACATATTCCATGATGCCGGAAACTAGACGAAGTTTTAGTCCATGAGAAGGGAGTTTATATTTAGAAATATTAGCAGCGGTGCAAACATACATGATACGGAAACGTCCTCCTATGGGTAGGTTGGGAAGGGATGGAAACGGGAATAACTAGAAGAATCGTCCTAAGTATTCTCCCGTTCTTATTTTCTTTGCTTTCTTTTCATTTTTACTAATGATTAATGCTTTCTGGTAACTTTCGCCACTACTGCTTTTCACTGTTCGTTGAGACCACTACGCTGCATGTTCGCACATTGTAGTAATGTAGCGTAGCCAATCTCGAAAGTTAAATCTCCTCACGGATCCCGCCAGACGCAAACTTTTGGTACTCAAATGGCAGTGTCTGTTGTTTTGAAGTACGTTGGCAAACTATTAAATTTGTACACTATGAAAAACAGGCTCCTAGTATTTTTGAACCGAAACGCCAATGCAGACAACTATTTGTCCATGACCGATGTAGGAAAGGCAAAACGCACGTTCAAAGCCTGTACCCAAACAGACTTTCTAGTAACGCCGACGTGTCGGCTCTGGTGATGGCGACCGGGTCACACTGCGCTCATCGCGCCCGCGCTCCTTCAGCCACTTCTTGGTCGACAGCGACAGATCCCGGTCCAGCTCCTCGCTTGGGTTTTTGCGGTGAATAAAGTTACAGAACCCGCCTCGCGCGCAGCCCTCGCCGGAATTGAGTCGACAGCAAGCCTCGCGGAAGTCGGTGACGGGTGATAGTTCGCAGTAGATGGGTCGTGCGGCGTACCAGCGGCTGTTGAGCGCGTCGCATGCGGTGGCAGCGCTCTCCTCGTATTTAAAGCGCGCGTAGACGTTGCCGATGAGGTGGTCGTTGTTGTTGTCGCAGACGACGAGCTCCTCGAGCTCGCCGTACTTGCACAACTCGCACCAAATGTCCTCGTAAAAGGCGTCAAAATGGTTCTGTAGCTGCGAGGCGTTCATGCGCGCCTGCGGGTCGTAGGCTGGGTTCTGGTAGAGATTGGGCATAAGGATCGTCTGGCTGTACGAGGGCTTGACATGTTTGCGAGAGCACCGGTCACCGTGGCGGCAGGCACCGATCTTGTAGTAGAAGGAGCAATTGACCTATTCAGGGAGACGTGGTTAGCAAGGGAAGCCAAAAAAGAAGCGAGGAGAGTCGTGCGATGAGGGAACGGAGTTTACCTTGTCCTGTTCTGTGCCAAAAATGGAAGCCAAAAAGTTCGCCATTGTAATCTGTGATGTCCTCGGTGGATTTTTGTGCGGAGAGCTGGGTATGATAGGGGCGGGGACCTATTCGTTTTATGTGTCGTGAGGTTGAGAAGTGCTTCTGCGCGTTGGAGGAGGCTATACCATAAAAACGACGATAATGATGACTAAAGTGAAGAAGGCTGAAGAACGCCACAGACTACGCCACAGTCGCCCCCGCTAATTTCACGTGATATATCACATGTTTCAACTTAATATGCTAGCAGGGTATTCTGTGCTCAACGTTTTACAACTCAATAAGGGCAAAGTAAGTTGTAAACAAACTGACCATCCAAGTTAACAAGTTGTAAGGCTTGTTATATCGGAAGACAACGACAGTGACTGGCAACATTAGCCTTTGGTACCATTTGCATCACGACCTCGACAAGACACCAGATACCACAAAGGCACGGCAATCTTGGCACTATTGTGCTGCAAAAAGCGGAATCGTCCCAAGCTTCAAGCTCCAATGAAACCCCTGTCTACGATGTATCTTTCGACTGTTTCCTTGCGATTACCCCTGTCAAAATGACGTCCATGCGTGCTACAAACAACCACTGGCTCAGAGTAGCGAAGCGCTCTACGTGTATTCACATAAGGCGAGTGACAAGCTTGCTTTTTGTGCATGCCGCATCGTCCATTCTACAGCAATTGGTATTGGAAACGCTTGCGTGTCACTCTCGTAATTACCGAACACTATTGGCACATGACAAATGGGCTTCGCATGGGAAGAACGTTGTCAATGCAGTAGCGTACATGTGAAGACGATACAGGCTGTGCTGGGGTAGAGTGGTTGGCAGTTTGGCGACTCTTTTTTTATTCTCAACGCTCCCATCATGTCGCCTTTTCTTGTCGACAAACGAACAGGGAACAAGCAAAGGCAAAACGTACTTTAGCTAGAGAAGTAAATCGTACTAGCATTGCCTTTTCTGTTTCGCCCCGGCTGATTTCGACCCAAAGATGTTAGGCACCGAGACGGTGGTTTTGCATGATCCTCCGGTGCGGCGATCTGAATGAGAGGGGTTGGGGGATCGGTAATTACCTTGAGAGCTTGAGTAGCAAAGCTCCAATTCGTCCCAAAGGCAACGAGACCCTTTTCCCCTCGGTCCTCCAACGCCGTCGCCAACGCCGTCGCCACCGCCAGACCGTCCTGGTCCTTGCTGGTTCTGCGTATACTCCTCAGCACGTTGTAATAGTGCGCGATATGCGAATCCACCCCAACCACCCAACTCCGCTTTCTTGGGCCGGGTTCGCGGTACCTTTTCAGCTCATGCGGGAACGGCCCATCCAGAGACATACACCATGCAAGCGGAACTTGCACACCAATCCGGGTCTTTTGCACGCCGGGAGAGCCGTCACAAATTGAATGTCAAGCGCTTTTCAAAACACACATCGGTGCTCAAAGGACCGTTTCTCGCCATCGCGGTGTTCGGAGAATATGGGACTTAAGAGACCTGTCAAAGCACTTGGCCTCTTGGCCATCCGGATATGCACCATCGACAAAAAGTACGTACTACACCATGACTTTTGATACTTTTGCTTGATTTCACGCGGCGTCCGCTTTGGCGTCTTGGAGATAGCGCATTCCGTCGCGTGTAAACTCTCCATTTTCTCAGTGCAACACGCAGCCCGTCATGTGTACCAAGCTAGGCAAGGAAGAGCGATGCCGAAAGTGCTAATTTGTCCTACCATTTCGAGTGTCGCAACTTTTGCGTAATGTTGTGTTTGGTTCCAGCCTCCCCATCGGCCCCGCTACAAAACCAGCACGAGGCATCCCATTTCTGTTATCAATACATGTCGCGAAAATGTCGTACATATTGAGATCGGGTTCAGTGTCGACGCGGTAAGACAAATTCATCTTGCCGTGCACCTGCTCGCCCCGTGATCTGCACCCAGAAGATATCGTTCGTGAACAAGGCACATGTGGTGACCAACTACGAAGTACATTTTCACAATGCTACGCTAGATCGAGATGTGATAATGGGGTCGACTCCCGCTCTCACACCTGCTTGGAGTCAGATTGCTTCATCCTCGGCCGTGCGCGTCGTACATATCGTAAACCTGTCTCTACTACCTTGCGAGACGTAAGCGCCTCGGCGTCACCATCAACGACCCTTGTTGCTTGCTATGCACCAAAGCCGAAATTCTCGCCTGATGAACACGTTTTCTCTTTTATGACCGTCTGTTTTTTTCTCTGCATTTCCCTGCTCTTTCTTCGTTCAGCTGTACTGGGCATCCAATCCCTGCCACCCCTGCAAAAACACCATCTAGGCACAGCCTGACAGGGTTCGTGCCCAGCTCCTTTTGCCGCACGACGACGAGCTAGACTGCTGCTTGGCCCAGCTTGGGCGACTTGCAATCCACATTGAGCGCTAAAGCCTACTCCCCTCGCTGGCCGCGCCAGGCTAGGTGGTCCGGCTGTACAGAATATGGGTATCTTAACACTTGCTCTGGGATCGCTCTTTTACTTTGCGGCGTATCCAAGCCCGTGGGAGGCAGCGTCACTTCGCGTGCGAAAGCGTTCGTGTGCGGCCCAGCCGTCGAGCCGCCTGAGCCAAAAAGCACAATACGACGTAGAAAACTAGTTTCTGTTCGATCTTGGAAAAATGCGATATTGCGGCCCTGGTCCGCCGCACTAGGATAAGATGCATCGCAGAAGCGCCTGAATTCTGGCATTCTGCAATATGTACGAAGTACTGCTTCTCTCCCCATTTAGCTACTGCGGCGGCCGTCGTACTTTGCGCAACTTGGGTCGACTCGTTCGTCGTAGTGTCCGCAAGTGGCTGGGACTCGTAGCTGTCGCAGCTTCCGGCTCCCCCAATTGGATGGGCTGGGAGGCTGGCTTGTCACCAGAGTCCCGTCATCCCTTCCTTCTTTTCGATGGACCCATCCGTGCCTTCTGCCAGTGGGTTCGTTTCGGTTATTTCCCTTTTCACCCACTTCTGACGTAGGTCGTACGTCGCAATCCGACCTTTCCTTCCAAGAGGCAATTGATTCCTTGCTCTGCGGAGGCCAACTCGACCACCAGTGGGCCATGAGGCCATCTACAGACCACACAATGCACCTCGTCGTGTTTGTCTGAATTCGTATCAATTGATTTTTGTAAATTTTTGTTCTTTTGCCGTTGTTTCCTCGCTCAATGCCCGCCGGCAGGTTCACGGCATGGAAGTGCCTTTTGTGTCGTCTTGGGTTGTCTCATACTCTTACTCACACACCTCCTTCCTTGTTTCGATCTTTCCTTCGTTTTTTGCCAATTGCACCTTCCCACTGTGTAGTGTAGCTCTTTCCCTGCTTCCGTACTTCCTTTGTGGCATCCCCCTTTTATCCCCGCCCGATTTTCCTACTTGCATCTGTCATTCTCAGTCACCTCCTCGACTTTCCGTCGTCAACTGTCTCCTCACTCTTCAGCCACCGGAATTCTCTCACAGCTCAGCCAGCCTAGTCGCATCTATCCCATCACACATCGTACTGGAGCAGACCCACCCACGTCTTCAGATCAGCCCCTAGCTGGCAACCAGCTCTGCTAAGCTAGCTGGCTAGCTCGACCTGCACTACTGTTGTACGTCGGGACTAAAACCAATCCATTTTCCATTTTCAATTCCCCGCCCCGCCTCCTCTGCGTTCGTTCACCTGAGTTGCCTCGTCTGCTTCTCTGTGTGTGTACGCAGCTATGTTTTGTCTCCCGGTAGTGTCCTGTCGTTCCTTTTTCTCTTGGCACTGAGTGCCTGTCTGTCTTATCTACCAAGCCCTGCCCTGTCTCGCCCGAACTGCATTTTTACTTGCTTTTCTTTTCTTCTTTTGCCTTTCTTCTCCGTGAAATTTCCCTTCCTTTTTGTTTTCTTCTGTGTGTTTTTTGTTCTCGTTTTCTGTTCCCCTCCGGCCAGCTGTTCTTTTTTCGCCTGGCTTCCCCTCTTCCCAGCTGTCCCACACCCGGTCGATAAACTTCTCGTTTGGAATCCCTGCCCCCTTTGCCAAGACTTCTTTAAGTGATCCGGCCCGCGCATAGCTCTCCCTACGTTTTGGGAGCTTTCCATTTTGTCATCCAGGCGTCTTTCCTCGAAAGTGTCGACCAGAGCTGCTTCGAGCAATTTAACTGTGTTTCACGGGTCGACAACAACAAGCCTGAGTCGACTCTCACTACCGTATCCACTCCCATCGCTACCACGGCATCGTCGCAGATCGATCAGGCAACGGAACCCAAGTCAGAGCTCTGTCGTGGCTTCTGTCTTTGCGACTGCGAACGACATAGCTCCCGTCCCCGCAAACCGACGACACTGAACGACGAAACTGCTTTCCCAAGTCCAGAGGACGACCAGCGCGGCAACGGCCAACATGGCGACCACCCAACCAAGTGCGCCGGAGGCCAAGCAGAGCGCTGTGATTGAGGCTGCTCGTGACCCGAACAGCGCCGTGAGCTCTCAAGATGCCCAGGCAAAGATGGTCCAGGAGAGCAAGAAGGCTGGCATCCCCGCCTTCACTTTCAATCCCGATGCCAGCCCCGAGGAGAAGAAGGCGCAAGCCCGGGCTGTATGTGTTCTCCTACGCTCCGTACCCCGACCCCCCCCCATATTACCCATGCGTTGTTCTCACATCTGATTACTAGGCCATTCCCGACAACTTCCACAATCCCAAGCGCGTCAAGGGCGTCGCAATCGCAACTGACATTGACGACGGATCCGCGGCTCAATACGATCTCCCGTCTCCCACCAAGGCCGGCGCAATTACCGCGCCGCCTGCAGGCGATGGAAAGGCAGCGGGCAACGGCACAGCTGCTCCTGGTGAGACCGAAATGGGCCCGGAAACCACGGGCTGGGCACCCCGCTTCGGCTGGCCCGTCGAGTCCATTCGCGATGCCCCGAGTCTGCTCGAGCATTCTACGTGGCTCGAAGGCCGCCTGCCTTCCAATTTGTACGGTGACTGGTACCACAACACGGGTATCATCATCTTCGCTTGCCTGACTTCCTGGTTCATTGCCGTCCTCGGTGGCGGCCTTGGCTGGGTCTTTATTATCATTGCCACGTGCGGCACTTACTACCGCACCTCTATACGCCGTGTGCGCCGCAACTTCCGTGACGATCTCAACCGCGAGCTCTCGATGAAGCGCCTCGAAACCGATTCTGAATCACTTGAGTGGATGAACTCGTTCCTGTTCAAGTTCTGGCCAATCTACCAGCCCGTTCTGGCCCAGACCATCATCAACTCCGTCGACCAGGTGCTTAGCTCAGCCACCCCAGCTTTCTTGGACAGCCTCAAGCTCCGTACCTTTACACTCGGCTCCAAGCCGCCCCGCATGGAGCACGTCAAGACCTACCCCAAGGCTGAGGATGACATTGTCATGATGGACTGGAAGTTCAGCTTCTCTCCCAACGACATTGCCGACATGACCACCCAGCAGGTCAAGAACAAGATCAACCCCAAGGTCGTGCTTGAGATCCGTGTCGGCAAGGCCATGATCAGCAAGGGTCTGGACGTTATTGTCGAGGACATGGCCTTCTCTGGTCTCATGCGTCTGAAGATCAAGCTGCAGATCCCCTTCCCTCACGTCGAAAAGATTGAGATGTGCTTCCTGGAGAAGCCGACCATTGACTACGTTTGTAAGCCGCTCGGTGGCGAGACTTTCGGGTTCGATATCAACTTCATTCCTGGTCTCGAATCGTTCATTCTTGAGCAGATTCACGGCAACCTGGCCCCTATGATGTACGCCCCCAACGTCTTCCCCATCGAAGTCGCCAAGATGTTGTCTGGTTCCACCGTCGACCAGGCCATTGGCGTTGTTGCTGTTACGCTGCACGGTGCCCAGGGCCTCAAGAACCCCGACAAGTTTTCTGGAACCATCGACCCCTATGCGGTCATCACCCTTAACCGCCGCTCGCCCCTGGCCCAGACCAAGATTATTCGCGACACGAACACGCCGCGCTGGAACGAAACTCACTACATCATTGTCACCTCTTTCAACGATTCGCTCGACCTCATTGTCAACGATTTCAATGACTACCGCAAGGACAAGGAGCTGGGTGTCGCCTCGTTCCAGCTCGAGAACCTCGAAGAGGTCAACGAGGCTGAGAACGAGACTCTCGAGGTCATCGCCGATGGCAAAGCCCACGGTCAAGTGTCATGCGACATCCGCTTTTTCCCCGTTCTAACTGATGAGAAGCTGCCCGATGGCACAGTTGAGCCTGCCCCGCCTTCGAACACTGGTATTCTGCGTTTCACGGTCGAGCAGGCCAAGGATCTGGACGGCACTAAGAGTCTTGTCGGCATGCTTAACCCCTATTCGGTCCTTCTGCTCAACGGCAAGGAAATTCACGCTACCAAGAAGCTCAAGCGGACAAACAACCCCATCTGGGACAACGGCTCCAAGGAAATCCTCATCACGGACCGCGCCAAGGCCAAGCTCGGTGTCGTTGTCAAGGACGAACGCGACATCGCCGGCGACCAGCTGATTGGCAACTATCAGATCAAGCTTGACGATATGCTCGACCTCATGGAGAAGGGCCAGGACTGGTACAACCTGGCTGGCGCCAAGACCGGTCGCGTCAAGATGCAAGCCCAGTGGAAGCCTGTCGCTCTGTCTGGTGTCATTGCCGGCACAGGCGGCTACCAAACCCCCATTGGTGTCATGCGCGTCCACTTTATCAAGGCGACTGCTCTTCGCAACTTCGAGACTGTCGGCAAGTCCGACCCCTACGCCCGTGTCCTGCTGTCTGGTATCGAGAAAGCCCGCACTGTCACTTTCAAAAACAACCTCAACCCCGAATGGGACGAGGTTCTATACGTTCCTGTTCACAGCACCCGTGAGCGCCTTCAGCTCGAGGTCATGGACGCCGAGACCATGGGCCGCGACCGCAGCTTGGGTCTGTTGGATATTTTCGCCGGTGACTTCATTGCCCAGGATGAAGACGGTGCTTACCTGGTCAACGACAAGAAGACTCAGCGCGAGGAAGGCCTCAAGCTGCACGGCAAAGGTATGGCCAAGGGTGTTCTGTCCTACACGATTTCGTTCTTCCCCTGCTTGAATGTCGCCGATCCCGAAGAGGAGGAGCGTGAGAAGGAGAAGGAGGCGGCCAAGGCGCAGAACGGCAAGGAAGCATCCGTCAGCGGCTCCGTCCCAACGTCACCCACGTCGGCCACCATCCCCTCCCCTCCCACTTCTCCCACGACGTCCAAGACCCAGGCAAGCCAGACTGTCCCTGCAGCGGCTCCAGGAAGTCCAGCCACATCCAAGCCGGGCAGCGACGTTCTGTCCACCAAGGCGGACGAGCCCAAAGGCCCGCCCAAGGTTCACCTGACCCCAGAAGAACTCCTCAAGTACGAGTCCGGTCTCATCATCTTCAAGTTGATGGAGGCTGAGCTGCCGCGCCCCGATACCCAGCTCGAGATTTTCGTCGATGATATGGCCTTTCCTTCCTACGTCTCGTCCAGCGCGCGCTCCCGGTCCTTTACGTTCGATGAGATGGGTGACTGCTTCATTCGCGAGCTTGACTTCTCCCGCCTCACCCTCAAGATTCGTGACCGTGGCGGCGAGAAGAAGGAGGATGAGAAAGATCGTCCTTTGGCCCGCCTTACTGGCAATACGCTCGATACGCTAAAGCAGTGCTTGGTAAGTTACTTATACCTGCCTCATCTTCACGGGAGAAAGGCTAGTTCGCAGCGCCGTTTTCGTTCACTAACACTTTTCATAGAACAACCCCACTACACTGAAGCTGAAGGACGAGGAAGGCAGAGTCAGCTCTGTTCGTGTTAGTCTCAAGTACATTCCCGTGCAGATGGAGCTGGACCCCAGAGAGAGCATCAACAACATGGGCAACCTTCGCGTTGACGTTCTTGATGCGGAGAATCTTCCCGCAGCCGACTCGAACGGCAAGAGTGACCCGTACTGCAAGTTCGAGCTCAACGGAGTCGAAGTGTTCAAAACCAAGGTGCAGAAAAAAACCCTCAACCCGACATGGAACGAGTTCTTCGAGATTCCTGTACCATCCAGAATCGGTGCTGCATTCAACCTCAACGTGTACGACTACGACTTTGCGGACAAGCCGGACTTCCTGGGCGGTTCGCCAATCCAGCTCGACCAGCTAGAGCCGTTTAAGGCTTCAGAAATGCGGTTGCCACTCGATGGCAAGTCTGGAACGGCTCGCATACGCCTTTTGTTCCGCCCTGATTACGTTACCCGCCAAAGACAGGGCACGTCAACGTTTGCCGCCCCGACAAGAATCGTTACTGGCGTGGCTGGTGCTCCCATTAAGGGTGGCGCGGCTGTTGTCGGTGTGGTGGGCCACGGTGTCGGCAAGGGTGCTTCCTTCTTGCGTCGCGGTTTCCGCGGGGGCAAGAAGGACGAGGAGGTAGTTGCTGCTCACATTACCGCTGCTGACACGGCCGCTCCCGGCACTGCCATCACAACGAACGGCGACTCTGCGGTCCCCAACACCATGGTCAAGCGTGCCTCGGGTCTCACCGATCCGGCGGTTGTCAGCCAGCATGACGAACCGGCTTTGGACGTACCTCCAGGCCCAGCTCTGGCTGCGTCGAGAAGCCTGGGCCACAACCGCACTGCAAGTGGGGCAGCGTCCATCTACAGTGTGGCACCCGGCTCGCCGGGTGCTGGCACGGCCGTATTCACGATCGTCTCTGCGTCGGGCTACCCACCGTCCTCGGACGTGTACGTCATCCTCAACCAGATTGGCTCGAAATCCAAGACGATTGGCAAGACCAAGCACCACAAACCGCAAAGCGGCGTGGCCAAGTTCGATGAGTCATTTAAAACCACGTGCACAGCCGACGCGCAGTTCCAGGTCCAGGTCCGCGAGCAGCACCTCTTCGGCAGCGACGACGTCCTGGGCGAGTCTCTGTACGTCGTGGACGAGTCCGGCACAAACGCTGAGAAAGAGATCAGTGTTGGCGACGGCTCGGTTGTGGTTAAGAGCACCTTCACGTCGCACGAATCCAATGGCACCACGGACAGCCCCAAGTCGTTCCGCCGCAGCTTCTTGAGCAAGCGCGAGGCTCGCCCTCCTTCTAGCCGCGAGGGTACTCCGGCGTAGTTGGTAGTTTTGATTCCCAAATATGCCGTAAATTGGGTTTTGGCTTTAGGAATGGTGTAATTTGGACGAAATAAATGGACAAGAGAAAAAAATTGTAATGTCTGTGGTCTGATGGTTTTGCCAATATATCTTTTTGCGCTTGTTTTTTATTTTATTGTAACGATTTCCCTTTACCTTCTTTCCACCTTTTTGGGTTTTTATTTTTATAGTTTTATATGCTTCGCTGCTTTTAATACGAATTTGGTTCTATTTGCAATTTGAGAGGCCAGTTTTATGGCTTGCAGTAAAAGAGGACTTTGACCGTGATATACTTTATTGCAAAATGAATGTTCCATAGATCGCCACAAAAAGAGTTTACGTATAGTGTTCATGAATTTAACAACACCGCGAAAAGTGGACTAGCTAAAGACATAATATCAAAAGCAAAGCAGTGGTTCCCGGCACGAGAAAACATAAGATTTAGTTTTGAGTAACCTCCCGATTACACCATAATACGCAGTTGTATAAAGCCAGATGAGAATGTCTAATGAGAACCGCATTACAGCTGGAACAAAAAAGCGCTGAGAGTTGGAGACAAAACTTGCAAAAAACAAGCTGAAAAAATAACAAAATAGGGTATGGTGCGAGATAACAGAAACGAGAAGCTACGTACAAGTGCAACGACAGACGAAAATAAAAAGAAAAATGTTGTGAGCGCTGAGAGTATGAAAAACCCTAAGAAGGCTGCGTATATTCAAGGGACCAATAGCGTAAAGCAACGCAATTTTTTTTTTTTTAAAAAAAAGAGAATGAAAAGAAAAGTGAGGACAGTGGGATGGCCGAGATCAGTACCCGAAGTTGTCGTGTTGGTGAACAGGGCACCGTCCTGGATGATTCTTAAACCAGGCGCGGATGCACCGCTCGTGGAAGCGGCAGAAGCATTCGAGCCGGGCCATTGGCACGCCCACTTCCAGGTCCTCGAGACAGATGGTGCACTCAGCTGCATCGACGCAGTCCTTCTCCGTCGCGCGGTAGGGAAACATGCCCGTCATCCGCGGCGGGGGTGGTGACGCTGTCGACGAAGAAGCCTCTGCAGTGTTTGCGGGTAGTGAGGTGGAATTTGTTGACGCGTCGGTGACCCCGTTCGTCGGCGACCTGCTGGAGCTGCCTCCCATGTACCGACTCTGCGTTTCAAGGCACTCGGTGATGTGGGCCTCACGCAGGGTTTCAAAGTTGGGCAGCGAACGCTTAGGCAGCTCGTTGTGGCACACTGGGCACTCGTCTTCCTCGGCAATTTGTGGTGTTGGCGGGGGCCTGTGTCTGTGGCCTTGGCTATGACGATGATGTGAAAGGTGCTGGTGCTGTAGCTGTTGCTGTTGATTTTGATGCAATTGCAGCTGCAGCTGCAGCTGTTGCTCCTGAGCAGAGGCCATGACGGCAGTCAACGGAGGCAAGCTAAGCCGGTTGTGACGGTACCGATTTTGAGCCGAGGATGAGGAAGCGCCCGAAGGAGCGGATGCAAGAGCGTTGCCAGCAGTCGAATTTGTGCCGTGGATTGTACGATATCCCTGAGCGAGTTGAGGAGATAGTGAAGATCCTGCCTCTGGAACGGACAAACCATAGGGAGGAGGAGGAGGCGTATATTCATTGCCACCCGTCGCACTACCTGACGCAGGACTTTGCTGCGTAGAGCTGCTCTGGACGCTACTGTACGACCGTGAATGATACCGGCTGGACGAGCCACCAGTGGTAGCGAGAGAAGAAGTATGGGCTGCTGGCGGTGTAGTGTTGGGATCTGGCACACACGGATTGCAAAGGCGGACACGTTCACCGCCACCAAGATACCTCACATCATCCGTCGGGTTGGCCCACTGGTTAGCATCTTGTCTTGGATAGGGCTGCGCTCCAGGAGGCAAGACAATGTACTGGTAGGGAATGGTAATGCGGTGCGGGGAACAGCTGTTGCAAACAACCCTTCCGCATTTTCTATGGACGGTTTATTAGCATTGTGACAAGACAGCGGGCATGGCGAATGCGGCCAGGCATCCATGCGACAAATCGGTATGTACGTACCTGCAGTGGTGTTTTCGGACAAAGATGTTGAAGTGCTGGAAGCAAATGGGACAGTAAGTGACTTCAGCGTCAGGCTGCCACCTGGGCAGAGTGATGTCCTGCCGCTGTTGGCGCTGCTGTCGCTGTTCTTGTGGTGTCGGCTGCAGTGAAGGCGGTGCAGCAGGAGCAGGGGCAGGAGCAGGAGCAGGAGGAAGTGGTGCCTCGGAGCTCTCAGCACCAGCGGTCGAGGTCCGACGCGCAGCCGAACTACTCGCAGTAGATGTAGATGACCTTGTTCGTGTCTGGCTGGCCGCGGATGGTTGTCGTTGTTGCGAGCGAGTTGCATTGGAGCGTGAAGCAGCGTAGGTCCATTCAGGAGGAAAAGGCGGCAGCGGAGCGGGCTCTTGATTGCGCCGCCGCTCCACCGGACTCTGCCACTCGAAAGGAACGGGAGGGAGTGGTGGCGACGGTGGCCTGTAGGCTTCCGTGGTCGGCTGTCTTATTGGGATACTGGAGGACACAGCTGGATCGGAGGGTGCGGCTGCCGCTGGCGTAGCTGTGTTGGGCTGGGCAGTACGACCAGGAGCAACAGGTAGGGTAGAAGTCATCGAGGCGGCAGGAGCAGCAGAAGGCACGGGGGGAAAAGGAACAGCCGGAGCTGTCGGAGCAGCAGACGCAACAGGCGAGGCGGGACGACCAGGATGCTCAAGGGCTGGACGGGAAGGCGCTGTGATCGATGAGGTCGTGACCGGTTCGGCTCTTGTAGCTGTGGGGCCATTTGCTGCCTCTACAGCATCATGGAACTCCTCCTCCAAGGCGGACGGTCTGCCAGCTGCAGATACACTGCTACCGCCGCTGTTGAAGTCACTTGAGGTTTTGTCGATGTGGTCGATCGTCGTGTTTGGGCTCGTACTCGCCGTCCCATCGTCGTCACCGTGACGGGACGCCATCTTGCAACATGTGTCCCAGAGTAGACTGGTTATCTGCAGTGTCTGCGCGGTGTGGGAGCTGGCAGGAGGGAGTCGAGAATCGACGTTCGGCGGGACGGCACGCCGAAGTGTTCGGTGATGGAGCCCAGGGGAGACTGGAAGATAAAGCGATAATCAAGTAGAGGAGAATGGTGGAGAATGTCGAGGGCGATGGAGACCGGTAGTCGGTGTACGATATCAGGACGCGCGGCGGGCTAAGCTAGATCGGTCGTTTGTCGTTCTGGTCTTTCTTAATACCAAAGTCTACGCAGAGAACACAAGAGTGATGTCCAAGAGGAGATGCTTGACAAAGGCAACGTTCGGCTGTGGTTGTGGTGGCGGGATGCGATGCACAACAATAGCGGTTTCAACGAGCAGCTGATTAGATTGTGGGCAGTTGTGAGGTAGCGCCTTCCCAGTGGAACAAGGCGAGGGCGGGAAAGTGGAGTGGAGTGGAGGGGGCAAAAAGCAAGAGCGACCTGGTCTGCCTTGTTGCCAAAAAAAGAGGCAGCGATGCCACTCCAGAGCACTAACCGGCGCTATGGAGGAAAGAGGCACCGGGCACACGACCTCGCTTATTCATGACTAATAATTCGGTATTGCTTTGTAGGACTTTTGGCTACATCCTAGCAGTAATTCGTACGAATTACCTCGTCCAGTATCAAGTGCATTTTGCTGACAGTCTTCCGCTCTGCATGTCCAATGATGGGTGGCCATGGGATATTCGACAATGACCATTACATGTCTACAGTAATTCGTACGACGTATCTTACAACGTTGATACGAAGAATTACATCAGCGCAACTTACAAGGTGCTTAAACTGTTGGCCAAGCATGTGACCAGCAGCAGCTCCTAGTGGACAGAGCCTTGCCCCAGTGTTCTTAATTTAGCGCACCCGGAGCGCGGACGGCCGCTATTGCAGATGGGTCTTGCAGGGAACAAAGAGACGCCTTGTGAGAAGGAATATGTTAAGTTTGATAAATGCATACGAACCACCAAAATGGAAGTATAAATATGACCCAAGAGTTGAAAGCACTTGCCAGCTCATCAAATACAAATACAGAGTACCAAAAGATACGAGAAATGGTACGCCAAGAGAAAACAATATGCAGCCACACTTTACACTGCAAATGCCTTGCTGCCCTGAACAAGGCCAGGACTCTGCCGAATGGTCATTATCGACCACGTCGGCGCGTACTTCCACGCCTCGTCTGCAGCCGGTGCAGTTCCCGGCGTGTTGGCATCGACCCAGCGACAGATGACGTGGCCTGTCAGGCTGCCGGCCGTGTTGGCGTCGGTATTGCCGTCGCCGGCCCATTCCACGTCGACCGTCCACGGCGTCTTCCAGTCCCGACGCCAGAGCGTAAAGTCGCCAATTTCCCAGTTGCCGTCCAGCGGGGCGGGCTCTTTATCAAAGCCGAAGCGCGTATCCAGGGCACTGCTGCTCCCGCGCACAGAGACAGCCTTGACTGGTCGGTCGAAGCGCAAGCCGCAGACCTTGGTGTTGACGGCAGTAATGTCGAACGAAGCGGCCAACTTGCCAGGCACCCGTGTCACGTTCACAGAGATAAGGCCTTCGTAACTGCCCGAGAAGGGCGATGTAGTGTCACCGTCGACGCGCGGCTCCAGACCGGTACCGTCAAAGGTGCAGTCGAGCAGCCCAGTTTTCCCGCCACCGGTGGCAGTGCATGCCAACCGACGACCTGCGGCGGCAGGAAGGTTGTTGATGATGTCGTGAATGTAGCCCTCATAGCCGGTCAGCGTGACAGACGAGTTGCCATGATCCACCGAGAAGTCCTGCCGGAGAGTGAACTTGAAGGGATTCGTAGCAGAAAAAGGAAATACGGCAAAGCTGTAGATGAGCGTGCCGATGAACGCGACGGCAAAAAAGAGTGGAATGTGCCTCGACACCCGGTGAACGAAGGGGGTCAAGGGAAGCAGGGCCAGAACCGAGAGTGCGCCAACGAGAAGATATGGCATCAGTACGTCTGAGCCGTCTGTGCCCGTCTGCTGTACGGCGGAACCGAGGAGGAGCAGCAGCTGGGCCGCAACGATAATGTTGAATGGGCCAAGAATAAGAAACTGAAGGAACCACGTCCAGGTGGGCATATACTTGGACCAGCCCTGCTCAACTCCAAACGGTTGCGACTGGACCGCCCATAGGCCGCTGCTCGGAACTTCGGCCGCCGCCTCTTCCCGCCTGCGTTCATCCAGAAGGGCAGACAAGGACCGCCGGTAGCCCGTGGCAAACGTGGTGGGCCGGTTATTGCGAATGTTGCCACCGATCAGGGGACTTGTCTCGGTCGGCACTTCGTCAAGGCCGCCGCTCGTGGCCTCGCCGGCATCGTTTGGCTCATTCTCAATGGTGCTCTCATTGTTGGAAACGCCCTCGCCAGGGGTCGGCGAGATCAGAGCGTCGCCTTCGTTGCCGTTGGCCAGGGCGCTCATTCTGCTATCCAGCTCCTCAATGTAGGCGCTCTTGGTCTTTAGGGCAAAGAGCTCCAAGAGAGAGATCAAAAGAGACGCAAACACGCTCGTCGCCAGATAGACGATGACATAGCCAGAGGCAATGTGTCCGCGGTCTTCGCCGACGGCGGCGACCACGAGTAGCACCCAGAAAATGCCGAAGAGCCAGAAAAGAGCATGTGTCCGGTGGAATGCGGATGGCCGGACAAAGTCGGCGACGCGCATAACGACCCAAAAGACGAAGACGAATACCGTCACCATAAGCGTGACCCTACGCCGATCAACATGTCAGTATGCGGTGCAAAGAAAGGGGGTAAGAAACGAACTTACACGGCGTAAAGATGGCTGTAGATGGCAAACGGCTGGACCTTGCAAACAAGGAGAGCCGTCCCATAAACAGCCGAGCCAGCCACAGCCAGCGCCGCCGGGAATCGAAAAAAGCCCTTCCAGCCGCCAATGTCGACCTTGCTGTCGGCATCGGCGCTTTCGGGTTGCTCGACGGAGGCGCGGAAGAGGTAGTCCTTGTCGAACTTGTGCAGCAGGAATAGGATAAGGGCCACGAGGAGCGGCGAAACGATGAGGATGGTCAGCGACCACGCAAAGAGGCTGCGGAGCGCGAGCAGAATCAGGCTGTCGCCAAACAAGTCGAACCATACGGCGTCGGTCTCGCCATCCTCTACGGCATCGCCCGCCGAGCCGGTCAAGGTCTTGGTCGAGGCGAGGGCGCCGGACAGCATGTGCCAGACGCTGGCCGTGGACGTGTGCCGGCGGTCGTCCTGCTGCGTGTGGTACCGCAGGCGTGGCTTCATGAAGGCCATGTCAAGTCCGCGGTAGCCCAGCGCGTTCACCCACACGCGATAGTCCGTCTCGCTTTGGATCCAGTTCTGTTTGAAGCCATCACTGGCAATCACCGTGCCGTGCGGGTGCGGTGCCTCGCGGTATGCCTTGACGACTTCAAGGTCCGTGGCGCGGAACAGCACCGCACGTCCACCAGCACCAGCTCCCTCAAGATTCACAAAGGTGCCGATGAAAGGGACCAGCGGGCTGTTCGCAAAAGCAGTGGCACCCAGCAAAAACTCTTCCTCGGCGTTGTTCAGCAGGACAACGACGCCACGCTCCGGCTGGTTGCCCGGCGTGCTGAAGTAGCGGACGACCTGCAGACATGAGACGACACCGACGCCATCGTCCGTGGCGCCGAAGCTCGAGGATACGGAGTCAAAGTGCGCGTTGACCAACACGATCTGCTTTTGCATAGCCTTGGCCTGCGGCGAATCAGCGGGTGCCCGCCACCAGTCACCGGCCTCGTCCCGCGTGCCGCGAATGTAGACGTAGATGTTGGTGCCTTCGAAGTACAGGCCAGAGCGGCGTCCCTCGGAGTACCTCGTGGTGAACGACACATTGGTCAGCAGATCGTCGAAGACGACCGCAGCCGTGTCTGCAATGCTTTCAGGGGCATTCCTGGGCGTTGTAAGTACGGACGACGTGCCGTCCGAACGGTCGGCCTGCGTCTTATAGGAGACACCATTGCGGTCGAGGATCTGATAGATGCGCTGCAGCAAAAAGACCCTCACGTCATCGTTAGCGTGGCTATTTGCCGGGTGCATGTACTGCGTCAGATTGGCAAGGTCGGCCCATGCTTCGACGATGCTGATGCCACGCGTTAGGGCTGACTCAGCCGGCGGACTGGGCACGGTTTCATGGATGTGGATGACGGGGATGACAGTCGCAAGGTAGACTACAACCGCCCAGAAGGTGACCTGGAGCGGCCGGAAGGCAAAGGGATTTAGGACCGTCATGTCTAGCGAGGAGAAGCCGAAAAGAAAGGAAAAGACAGACGGGGAGGGAGAGAAAAGAGAAGACGAGGCAGGGTAGTGCCGCCGTTCAAAATGGTGCTGTCATCCGTGCCGAGGCGTTTTCTTCGAGCGACCGAGAAGATGACACCAGAAACGACTAATGCAAAGACAAGCGATCCTCGCCAAATGCTCTGAAATGCAAAGTCGAATGAAGGGAATGGGTGGTTGGGGAATACCAACGACATGGGGTGAAAGAGGGGAAGCAAGGGAGGAAGCTTTAGAGGCAAAAGGCTGCAGCCGCGCGCCCGCACCTATTGAAGGCAGGAGCAAACCACCAGCTTCAGCGTATCCGCCGAAGCTTGGCCGGCAGCGGGCCAACCAATGACACCATAAGCGACGCTGGGCAGAGACAGCACCTTACCACTTCTTCCCCCAAGCTTCCTTCCTCTTTGGGTGCGCTTAGTTAACCACGGGGCCCCGCTCTATTCGCGACTTCCCTGAAAACAGCCACTCGCTCAATATGCATCAGGCTGGGAAGTCACATGATCAAATGGCAATAAATTATGCCGCTTCTCGGAGCGATTTGTTAAATTTGTTACTGCGTTCACTTCATTGACTTTTGCAAGACAGGCATCAATTTTAATTTATTTTTTCTCCTTGTTATTATGTATCTACTCTCATCCGTGAAGAAAGGCTCGCAATAAGTTAGTACGTTAGTACATCCATACTTAAGGCTGCGCTACAGTTAGGTTGAAGACACCAAAACGGTCTTCTTCGAAGCTCATAAGCGGTAAAAGGTACAGCAAAATACACCACAGATTGTGGAACAAAGTCAGTTAGCAAAGCAACACCGACACCAACTGTCGGTCGTGTGCGGTTGTCTGGTCGTCGGGTGAAAGAACAACAGCAAAAGACGCGGCGACTTCGTCAGTTCCGCACTACTTTCCCATGCCTGCGATTGCGGTTGTCGAAAATCGTGTATCATCGCTCACTCGCTCCTGTCGGCTGTCATGGTTAAGCAATGTGAATTTTACGCTCCCGGAGGTGGAGGTGGAGGCGGCTGGTCGCTTGGCGGCGGAGGGGGAGGCGCATCACCCGGAGGCGGCGGCGGCGGTGGAGGTTGCACCGCACCAGAGTACTGCTGGATCAGAGCGCTGAGACCAGAGTCCATGCCCGGGGGCGCACCCAGACCAGCACCGGCACCGGCACCAGGAGGGGGCGGGGGCGGGTGAAGACCGGGAGGCGCTCCGCCCATGCCTGGCGGCGCTCCGTAGCCCGGAGAGCCATGGTACGACGGCGGAGGCGGAATTGCCTGCGCGCCAGGCGCTTGGTGCCATGGGGCCATGCCCGGCGGGGCTGGGGGTGCGGCTGTCCCATTTTGCCCATTGTAGCCACCATGGGCGCCACTGCCAGCGTTGTAGAAGTCACCACCACCATTGTCGTAACCACCTCCACCACCGTTGTAGCTGTCGTTGTTGCGATAGTTACGATCACGCGCCCAGGGTGCGGGACCGCCCGAGGGACCACCTGGAGCATCTTTGGGAGGACCGTCGTTATCACGGTCGTTGTTAGCACGCCGCCAGGGCGCAGGTCCTCCTGTCGGGCCACGTTGCCACGGCTTGGGCTCGCTATTGCCACCACCGGGGCCAGAGGGACCACCAGGACCAGCTTCGATGCGCAGCGGCGGGCCAGAGCCACCACCGAGTTCTTGCATGAGTTGCTAGGGGAGTCAGTATTGTTTTAAGACAGAAACGTAAAAAAAAATTAAAAAAGAAGAAGAAAAGAGAGACAGATGGGCAGAACGATGGAATGATGGTTGCGGCGTAGCTTACCTCGTACTCGCGGTCCACCGCATCGCCACTGCCCGAGGGACCCAGACGACCAGCCGAGGACCGCACGGGTCCATCGTTCCGCCAGTTGGCGCCTCTTTGTCTGTCAGGACAGTCGCGAGCCATGTGGCCTGCGTTGCCACAGACACGGCAGATGATGTTGGCAGTGTAGTTCTGCTTTTCTGGGCAGTCGTACTTGCGGTGGCCGATCTGACCGCAGTTCTGGCAGGCCTGGTTCTCGTCGTCGCGGAGGGTACCGTTGAGGGCAGCCAGCTCACGCAGCTGGTTGCGCTTGAGCTCATTCTGCCCTTCGGGAATGGAAGCGGCCTGTTGGAGAAGAAACCTGTTAGCTCGGGGAGTCGCATGGGGGAACAGCTGCTGGATCAGCTGCTTGAGGCGTTCGTAGTGGGCGCATACAGTTTCGATCACATTATGGATCAGGCGCTTGGCCTTTTCCACCTTCTCCTCAGTGTCTGCCATGATCAGACAGTGAAGATCTTCTTCCTGGTTGCTGGAGTGTGCGGCATCAGAGCGGCCTGTGAATTGGTTAGTGTGGTTCAAAAGAAAAGCGGCAAAAGAAAACAAAGAAAAAAAAGCGAGGCGTAGTGTAAGAGGGTGGAAACTACATACCTTTGCCTTCTTTGACGGAACCCTTGCCGCGAATGGCAATCTTGGCGCCAGATTCTGTCTCCATTTTCTTCAAGGTGTTGCCTCTGGGACCAATAAGTAAACCAACTTGAGTAGGAGAAGAAAGCTAAGTGTTAGTATCAAATTAATAGGCTCCAACGCGGTTTGTATCGCGTCGACAGATTTCAAGGGTTAGACTTGGTTAGAGAAGGGGGAGAAAGGAGTGACAGTCGCCGAATATTTTCAAGTTAGGTTTAGTTCCCATGATGGCTTCAAGGGGACGGCCTGCACAACGAGGCCAAGACACAAAAGACACCGTGCACGCGTCGTTGAGCCTGGTAGTGCCACCAGAGAGAAAAGATCCGGCTCCATGGCAAGGAAAAAAAGAGGAACAGGAATGGAAGGAACGGGGAGGCTGACGGGGGGAGGGGAGCAGGGTGGAAGCAGTTAGAGGCGTTAGAAGGGTTAGCAATCATACTAAAATTAATTTCAGGGTAGTCGTTGACGGGCACGTAGACCTTCTCCTGGGTCTTGGTCGGCCGGCGATAGTCCTGGGGCGGATGGTAGTTGGGGAAGGTCTTAATGGCCTTCTCAACTAGCTTGTGGCGCTCCTCCTCCAGCTTTTTTCTGTAGCGGTACTCCCGCGTGTTGATACGCCGGCCGTGGTTGTCGTACTGGGGTGCGGGCGATGGCGAGCGGTCGCCATCGGCTGGGACGACGTCGTCGATCTTGAGCTTCTGCGTGATCTCCTCGATGCGCAAGTGCAACGTGTACGCCTCAAGCTGTTCGCTGGTCATGTTGGCCAGGATCGCCGTGGGCAGACCCATGAGACCAGCCGCCTTGTTGTCGGACGCTTCGCCCCACCGGTTGCGCTTCTTGCGGCGACGGACGCCGCCATCAAGGCCGCCATCGGTTGCCGGCGGTCCACGGGGCTCTGGGCTACGCCCGCGCTTCAGATCGCGATCCCGGTCGTAGCCTCCACCATTGCGGTCGCGGTCATCACGGTCGCCCCGGTCACTACGATAGTCGCTGCGGTCATGACGGTCGCCGCGATCGTAGTCGCCGCCGCCGCCGTTGCTGCTGGGCTCAGAGTCGCCTCCAAAGCGACGCACTTTCCCGAGCGGAATGTTGTTCGAGCCGGTGATGCCCTGATTTCTCCAAGACATCTTGGCGGAGTTGTCGCTGCAGATGGGCTATGATGCCGGTAAGGGTTGTGTCGATGGTTTGGGGCAATACTGACGATAGAGCGTCAGTTTTGCACTGAGTTGGAAGTTTAAGGCTTCCGAAGCATCGACAACAGGTTCTTGAGAAGAAGGGGCAAAAGTTCATTTGCCGCCGCCTGCTATAACGAATGCTGATTGGACAAGATCCCGCTGTCACGTGGAACGCCATAGCACTGTGGAGCTCTAGGCACCTCTTGGAAAACATTGTGTCTCATTGACTTCGACCGAAACTCAAACGATTTGCCAGAATGAGGATTAAAAACTTAACAGTACTTTGCTAGGACAGTGCAGAAAGTATGTTATACCTCTCTTTTCTGTTTATTTATTTTTTCGTCAGATTTATTACTCGTAACTTTCATCACTTTGAAACATGAGGACAGTCCGAATACATATCCAAGTACGGAGTACGAAATACTCTGTACCATACATCAATCTCTTGGCAGCCCCCCACTGTATTTACCGTGCTGACATCCCCCCATGCTGTGCTGCTGCTTACTTGCATATATTATCCGTAGCAGTCGGCTCGAACGCAGTGCTACAATACACATTGGTCGTCGACAATCTGACCATGTTCCGCCCTTAGTGCAAGGCTGACCTGCCGCCTTACCGTACCGTTTTGTTTTTCTCTATTTCTTCAGTTTCTCTGCATCGTCGGCCATGCCCTGCTGCACCCAGGCGCGACCCGACGCGGCGCGCTTCTCGAGGTCGGCCGCCGAGAGATTGTCGAGGGCCGTGTGGCGCGACGGGATGTTGCGGCCCTTTTCGACACCGGGACGGGCGAGGATCTTGTCGAACCAGGCCTTGAGGTGGGGAGTGTCGTCGAGGGTCTGGCCAGCCCAGCCTATGTTGTCTGTGAGTGTTTTGTTGGCAGGTCAAACAATACGGCCAAGACGGAAACCTACGATGCGAGGCAATTCAAGGCCAGGTAGCAATGTCGGCAATGGTTAGACGGTCGCCAACAAGGAAGCCGGACGTGGACTTGGCTAGATGGTCGTCGAGGACGTGGTAGAGGCGGCCGGTCTCGTTGCCGTACCGCTTGACACCGTATTCGATTCTCTCGGGAGCGTAGCCTGTGCTTCTGTTAGCAATCCAGCGACGCGACGTTCCTGGTGAACGTAGCTAGCGACTCACGTAAAAAGTGGTTGGCCTGGCCCTGCATCGGACCCACTCCGGCCATCTGGAAGAAGAGCTACAACTTGTTAGCGACTGCGAGGCGTGCAAGCTGAACCAGGTGTGTACGGAGACAGAGCATACCCAGTTGTTGACTTCGTAGTACTCGCGCGTGCCGAAGGGGTACGACAACTTGTGCTCCGTGTCGTAGCGATCCGTCAAGTAAAGCAGGATGGAGCCGCTCTCAAACAAGCGGATGGGCTTGCCATCGGTATGCGTGTCCGTGAGCGCCGGAATGCGGCCGTTGGGGTTGATCTCGAGGTACCAGGGCTCCTTCTGCACGTTCTTGGTGAGTTCGATCGCGGTGACCTTGTATTGCAGGCCCAGTTCCTCAAGAAGAAGCGAGATCTTGATGCCATTGGGCGTCTGAGACGTGTAGAGGTGGATGTCGGTGGGAGTGGCCATTGTGTTGCGTATTGCCGTTCTGATCTTTGGCTTCTGCAGTTGGGGAGCTGGCGATTCTGATTTTGATTGTGATGCTTGTGCTTGTTGCGATGCAAGGTGCGATGCTATGTGGTTCAGTCTGTCTGTCATTGGGCGATGCACGACTATTCTTGTTTCCTTGATATTGACCGCCGTCTTATAAATACCTTGTCATGAGCTCCTTTTGTGCTGTTGACGGCATCTCCTCGTTTTTTGAAGCGGGCATCAGTTCAACTACCATGGCTTAGAAATCACGGAAGGTGTACCGGCGGGGTTCTTGCAGACGAACCTGGTACAGGCTTGCTATGTACAACACTAAAGCGCCAGAACCCAACAATCGGCCGCCCAGGTGCTGTGTGCTCAAGATTACTTAGGCATCGGACTGTTGGAAACTCCCGTATGTCGTACGGATTTGCACAGTTACCTTGTGAACTGGCTAATCAGCGTCTGGCCGAGCTGGTTCATTGCAGTTTCCCCGCAAGATACATACAAGTAGCTGCTCTCGGCCGTTTAAGCCTGCATTCCCACTTGGGACAGAGCGCAATTATGTGTCGGGATACATCACTATGGCATCAACGAGCCAGCCGGCGTTGACTTCGCTGGAGGGCCTGCATGACAACGCGTCCGAAAATACTCCGCACAACGTGCCCACACTAGAGCGGACTTTACGACAGCGCCGTTTTCGGCATATGATGTGGAATCTCATAGCGCTAAAACAGCGCTATAAACACGGGCAGCACAGCGCATTGGAAATCCAATGCGCTCGGCTATGCATCAGGTTCATGGTGTGCTTCGGCTACTTATAACCGGTCGTATTTCGTAACTATCTTTGTGTGGTCTACATACTAGGAAGATGGGGTGAAAGTAGCGACACAAAACAAGCAAAAGGTAAAAAAGAACAAAAATGCAAGCTTCATAGATGTAGCACATAATGTTGGCGCCCATGGTCCCTGGCCGTTCATACCCTCCGACTGATTCAAACCACGAGGAGACTCAAATGCAAAGGGGAAAAAAAGGAGACACAAGTAACAAAACATACAACGCCAGAATTGCTAAGCCGGGGAGAAACTGAGGGACAAACGCAGAGTTCAGATCAAAGAAGATAGGATTGGTCGAGGCCATGACGAATCAAGGGCAGACGGCGAAAGCGAGCACCACTCAACCGCGGCGGTAGCCCCCGTTGCGCTCTTGGCGACGCTTTCTCTTCTCCTCGGCATAGGCAAAGTCCTGTGTCTCGGAAACAACGCTCGAGCTGCCCGAGTACGCACTGGGTGCCGACAGGCCGGGAATGACGTGGCGGTACGATTTGGTGCCTAGGTCGCTCTCCGACTGGCCAGCATCCGTCCACGCACCGGGAACTTGCGACCGGCCGTCGCCGCCGGCCTGTGTGCCCTCGCCCTCGTCAATCTGGCGCAGCGGTGTGCTTGCATCCTCGCCGTACTGCCAGCTAAAGTCGCGACGGTTGCTGCTCGCCGCGGCAGACGCCGCGTATGAGTGAGAGGCGCGCTGGCCCCGCTCTTGTAGGCGCCGGCCCTCCGCGCGGACACGCTCCTGCTCACGGGCAGCATTGCGGTCAGCTGTGCTGTACACCTTGCGGATGCCCTTCTTGGTTGGCGTGTTGGTCGGCGTGTGTTCGCGGTTCGAAATGAGCTCCGACGTCACCGTGCTCTCGGTCGCGGCCGACGACGCACTCGGGTTGGAGCCGTCCCACTGCGAGCTGTCACTGGCCTTGTTGATGCCGCCCACGCGGGCAACCTTCTCGTGACGGTAGTCGCGCAGGTGGGCCTGGGCGTTGGCCTCGGCCATCTCGTCGACCACACCGTCCTCGTTGACCTTGCGGCTGGACCGCGACTTGCCGTCGTTCTTCTTGCGGAGTTTCTCGTTGTGTTTTTCCTCGCGGCGCCGTTCCTTTTCGCGGTCACGATGCTCCTTCTTCTTGCGGCGCTTCTCGCGGCCCATAATGTCACTGACGCCGGCCGTGATACCTGACATCGCAGTCGACTCCGTTATGCCGGTCACGCCGGTGATCACCGTGGAAGCATCTTCAGTCGAGTTGTCGTCGACATCCTTGTAGATGCTGCCGCCACCCAGGTCGGTGCTGGGTGTGGCGTTTGACAGGATCGTTCCGTTGGGCCCCCGACGGCGCAGCACCGTCGTCTTGTAATCCTCCCAGTCGTTGTTGGTAAAGTGGAAGCCGCCGTTCTTAGCCCAGAAGAAGAACCAAATCATGGCCACGCAGATGGCGGCTCCTAGAATGCCAAAGAGCGCAAAGATAGCATTGTTGTTGATCGATTGCGGCGCAGTTACGCCCACGTGTGGGTCGGGTGTCGTAGTCGCTGCATCACGAGCCAAGAGAATCGCCCGAGCCGCCAGCGGGCCGTGGTCAAACACCTTTGTCGAGCTCACCGCATTCCGCGACGTCGAGAGCCTCGACACTAGGCCGCGGAAAACGGTGGGCGCCATTGGGCGGGTGTTTTTTGTTCGTTTCTTTGGTTTCTGGCTGGAATGGACCGGCAAGGCAGCCGGTCAAAAGGTACGTAAAGTGAGGCCTCGATTTGCGCTGGATTGTGAGGGATTGTAAAGCAGATTGAATGCCAGCCGACAGGGGCGATGCGAAACAAACGGCCGTAGCCACGAGCAAAGAACGAACCGTTGTCAGGGTTCCGTTCACTGGCAATGAGTTGGGATGTAGAGTCGATTGATAGATGGAGACGTGTCGCGACACAGATTCGAATTGAATGTCGACTTTGTGGAATGGAGAGAGGATCAAGATCTGCGCTGAATGCAAAGAGATAATGGGAGGAGGGACGGAATTGGGTGGTAGGCCTATCTTTGTTTGGTTCCCCTAGAAACCGGAAGGCGAGATTGGGCAGTGCTGGGGCAGGTGCGAGGGGCTGTCCCATTTAAAGTGGCAGGCGCCAATGACGCGATGCTTTCCAAAACGAGAAATTATGGCGACGCCACGTTCTTGAGCAAAGAATTCACAGAAAAATAAAAAAATAAAATAAAAAGACATTGCGAACAAAAAGAATGTTAATTAATGTGCAACGTTTTACTTCATACAGATGTTATCGCAACATTTAAGTCGGAATACCTTGTAAAAGACATTCATCGGCATATGCGGAGTGTGCCTCACGAATTGGTGAATCTTGGGATGTAAATAGACGGTATCCCAGCAACCACACGTCTTACACACGTGACCCACTTTTCGTCCGCCACACATATCTCAGCCACAGGCAGAGCATGAGTACACAACTCGCGTGCACTTGCCGTCCCAAGTTCAAGGAGCGTCCGTTGCCAGTCTCTCTTATTCCAGTGATTCTTGAATGCATGCAGGTTGAGTTGTAAGATTACAATCAAAATCTGACGAAAAACGCCCAAAAGTTATTGAACGACCGCCGCCTGCTACTAAGCGCCGACACCCACATTGCGGCCCCTATCTCCGTATCTCTGTCACCCAGACGACGTTTCACCTCCGTATCAACTGCGGAGACGCTGCGATTTCTCCACAGCCTTTGTGAGGAGATTGAGGATACTCAAACAATGGGACAGAACACCAATAGGACGTTGCTAACGCCATGTCTGCCTCATATCAACGTTGCTTGCTGCCGCTGGCCTGGTTGCTGGCGTGTTTCTACCAATGCTGATGTTACAGCGCCTTGATCACACAATGTCCCAGCATTTCTCATGGGCATGTGCCATGTGCCTTGCATGGTGGGAAAGAAACGCGTCGCCCATGATCGCTCCGTTCTGGACTTTGATTGCCCACTGACTATGAACAAGCCACTCGATTGCTCCGTTTTGTCTCCCCACGAACAGGAGTTGAGGGGGCGTGGCATTAGCATGATCAACACAAGGCCAACGGGGGAAACGTCCATGCAATGTGTCTCACGACCAACGTCCATTGCCGAAGAAAGGGGGATAAGAAGGCGAGCTTCCCTGTCCAGCTACATCGGTGCCAATTGGACGGGCTTAGGAACAATTCATGCTTCACCAAGCGCTAGGATGAAGCTGTAGAAGTGCAGGTATTGGAAGGAAGGCGTACGGACCTGCTTCGACCCTCCTTTTTTATGCAAAGGAACATATGAAGCCCCTATATTTAGCATGTGGTACGGTTGGCGTGTTCGTAGGGCGAAGGAACATCCCCGGCGACGTGAAATTTGAACATAAGGTCCAAAGTAGGAAGCAGTGCGGAGCCAGCATTCCATCATCGCTCATATTTACAGTTGGCCGGACATGTTGGGGTATCCAGACGGGCAAATGTGCCAGCCGGAGAAAACAAACTAAGAGGGATAGGCCCTATTGGCGGAGCGCAAATCTACCACGAATAGACGTATATGTGACCTCTAGTATAACCGTAGAAGGAGGGGGGATCGCCGTCGAAGACAGTTCGTTGTCAATGCCGTGTGAAATGATGCGGACTCCCCTATTCATCCCCAAGGCCGGCCTAGTCAATCCGAACAGGTTGATTTAGAGTTCTGTTCCATTGTTCCATGATTCGATAAAGGATCGCGTCGATGATGGGAAAGGGACGTCTGTTTTTGTTGTTGGCGGTTGCGAATCATACTTTAGGCATGTCATTATGCGCTGTCGGCATGTTAAATGTGACTTTGGCTTGAAAGCCTGGCAAAGTCGGGATTGCTAAAACAAAAAACACAAGGGCTAAGAAGGAAACAAGACATTGTATTGATCGTTTAGAGAGTCCAGAAACTAAAGTGATATATTCCCATTTTCGTTCAAATAATCTGTGTTTTAAAACAAACTGTGTTGGGGTAATATATGGCCTTCATGACAAAGAGGGTATCAAAAACTTTTTAATCCAGTACGAATGCCGCCGTGGAAACAAACGGGCCGGTCGACATCAGTCGGTAGAGCACGTATGTATAGTAATGACACAAGCTTGAAGACAAAAGACAATTTGATAATCTGGGGGTGGCCAGGGCCCATCGTAGAAAAGGGTGGGCAAATTGTGACAAGATTAGCTGAAAAAAGTCGTAAATCGTACCCGAAAAGGACATCATGTTGCGTCCCCAGGACGACAGGACGACAAGTCCATTGGCAACTGTGCAAGAGACGTGAAAGAAAGGGCAAAGAGAATAAAGCAGCAAAACATAGAAACGCTCGCTCGCTTGCTTTCGCTAATAAAAGGCATTTTGCAAGTATGCCTCATAAGGAAAAGAAAAAAAAAAAAAAAAAAAAAGTAGAAATACTGGCCGCAGGTCAAATAAAAAGAAATAGAAAAAAAATCAGAACATATCGTATCGTCGTTTCGAACAATTAAAGGAAGAAAAGAGGAAAAGAAAAAGAAAAGAAGAAAAAGAAGAAGTACGTCATCTTGCGTTTAGCGAGGCGGCCTCAATCTTTGGACCTCTTGTCATTTTCTTTTGGTCGTACTTTATAGTTGACGTTTTCATTCTTTTTTATCATATCCAGGACCCGGGTGCTGGAAGTGGATCAAAGGGAGCACCTGTGTAGTCCAGGGCCCCGTCGTAGTTGTACTCATATGGTGCAGCTGTCGGTGCATAGACGGACCTAGACTGGGAGGCCGCACGGCTGCGCAGAGCAGGGTAGTCATGGCGCCCTCTGCGGTCATCTATTTCCGCGAAGCTGGCCTTGTCGCTGCTACCGATCCGTCTACCTAGTGGTGGGCCACGGATGTTGATCTCGGTGCCGTCCTGGCAATGCATTTCTGTTTCGCCATACTTGAAGACAGCATTGCCCCTGACCCGGATGGTCAGGTCTTCTTCATTGCTGGACCGCGTTGTTCTCGTCGTGGCTGACTGCCGCCAGTCGCTTTCGTCGCGGCTGCCAGAGCTGCGGGTTGACCGGCTCTTGGGACCGCCGCGCCGGCTAGCTTCGTACAGCATTTCTTCTGTGAGGCGCATGCCTGCCGTCGCCATACCGGTCGTTTTATCCTGGTATGAGCTGGCAAACCGAAGCTTCTCATCCAACGCATTGCCAGGCAAAATGGGCTGCTCCCCGTAGTATGAGTTCCGACGACTGCCCATTGTGCCCGCTACCTCGGTTACATAATGTCGCGGTTCCAACTGGTAAGGATCGATGCTTTCGCGGCGCGTCCGCGGTATATGCATCATGCCATACTCAAGGTGAGAGCCTTCAAGGGGTTCGAGGGGTTCAAATGGCTCATCACTCAAAGGTTGGAAAGGTTGTCCTCGGATCGAGATGGGTCCGGAAGGAGGAAGCATGGGAGGTGCAAAGGGCGAGGACAGCATCGGCCGAGCAGACATGGGACGCATCGACGGAGGGCGTGAGCGTTCATCCTCCATACCTAGGCCGTGGCTCATGGAAAGGCGACGCATATCGCGGCTCAAGTCAGATTCTGGCTCGAATCCGTCTGGATTGCCATACTCGACAGTCGGCGGCGGGCGGTGTCCCATTGATGTCTGTGGGCGACCGTGAGCAAAGCGCTGTTGAAGTCCCCGCATGCCGCCATTGCTAGGAGGTGCCGGAGGTGAGAAAGTCTCGTGGTGGAACGCTGGCCCAGGCGGCCCAGGCGGCCCAAGCGGGTGCATTGGTGGCTGGGGTGGTGGCATCATGCCGTAGCCGTGCGGGGGCAGGGGATGTGGCTGCCACTGCTGCGGTGGTGGCGGCGGGGTCATAAAAGCGGATGGGGGCAGCATGCCGGACGGTTGTGGCGGTTGTGACGGATGCAGCGAGTGGTATCGCGAGTTCGAGAGAGGAGGGCGAGAGGACGCGTGGTAGGCGGAATTAGGCCGCGGCGCAGCCGTCTTTGACCGCGGGCGAGCCTGGGCGGATGCGATGGAGGCAGGATCGGCCCCATAGTACACCGCTTCTGGGTTGTCGCGCGATCGGCGGCGTTGAGATGCGGTCTCGATGACCGGGGAGCTCTTCGAATGCCGCGTTGCCGGGCGGGTGAGGGCTTGTTTCTCGGGCGGGACGGACCTGTCTCTGTCGCCGCGTGGTCTTGAGGACTTGCTAGATCTTGACTCGCGACGCCTCGGATGGGCAGTCGAGTCGGAGTCCGTGAAGTGGTTGGCGGCCGATGGGGACACGTCGCGGCGGGACTTTTTTCTACTGATGTTCATGCGTTCTTTGGAGGGACTGGGCGCAGCTGATGCGGCGTATGTGACATCTCCATGGACATTTCCCAGGTCGTCCTCCTCCTGCATGTAGGCAACCTTTGACGATTTTGAACTCTTGACAGACATCGTGGAGGTGCTACACTCGTATCAAAAGAGCACTGAGCGTTTTGTGAAAAGTTGAGTCGTCGAGGTCAAGAGTGGGCGAGTGGGCGAGTGGGCGAGTGGGCAGTGCGGAGCAGAGACAACGGAGAGCGGTAAGGCGCGATGAAGATGGGCAGGGGAACAGGGCAAAGAACAACACGAGAAAAACCGAGGGCGTTGGGGGGATGAAAAGGGAAAAGAGAGAAACGAGGACAAGGAAGAAAAAAAGGATAAAGAATGAAGGAAAGAGGACACGAGGAGAAAGGAAGTATCGGGGCGCGCGTGCAGCCCGTGAGGCAGCGACGGTCGCTTTTCGTCTCCCAGTCGTAGGTGTCTATCCCCGCTTGAGATTGTGTGACCTTGATTAGATGGATGGAGTGTGTTGGGCGCGGACGTCGGCAGCTTCACAGGCAGCGAGTGAAGCAGGGGCGCGTGGATCGGACGTGGTGCTCAATAGGCAGTCGTGAGAAGAAGGATCTCGATCTCGTTCGTCGAGAGCAGGAGAAGAACAGCCACGAAGGAGAACCAGTTCTCTCCCGGATGCCTTGGGCAGCTTGGATGGTAGGGTGATGTTTGCAGGGTTTCGCCAGTCGGGAAGAGACGAGCCAAAAAAGTTGAGTGGGGATCGGGTGGTTTTATGGATTTTTGTTTGGGTATGGGCAGGATGGAGTATGGGGTTTCCTGGCAAGCCAGGTCACTTGTGGGCGAGCAGGGGCCTATTCGCTGTATCCGTTTCGTTCGAGGTCCGTTATTCGTTCGGACCTCGTCCTTCTTCCTCGTGACGACCCAGCAGCGAATATGTGGACGACGGTGGTAGGTTGACGGATTCTGGCAAACGAACAGCCACACATGAGTCAGAAATGAAGAGAACGAGGAAAAAAGAAAAAACCGACGCAAGAGAGTGTAGAGTGCAGGAAACAAGAACGAAAGTCGGTGGTCGGTTGCGTTCTGGGAATGTCAATTTGTTTATGTAGAGTCACAAATCACTGTGGCAGCCACAGGGACAAGATGGCGTTTCTTATGGCCGCGGTGGTGGTTGCCGTTTCTGTTTGTGTTTGCTGTCTCATGAGGAAGGTATGAGGTTTGTCTTTACGCTACTCTCCCTTCTTTCCATTGTCGCCTTTTCGGAAGGGGTGCGAGGGGGGGACGGCCGACGAGGAAGGAGGGGGTGTGCAAGAAATAGGGTACCCACTTTATAAACGGAGAGCGGCAGGAGACGTGGTGTTGTGTAGATTTGTGGGAACATGAGGCTATGCGACTGCGAGGATATGAAGTTATGAGACCTTGAGACTAGGAAAGAATGGCTGTATGCCGTAGAGTGCCAGACACATGGTCCATTTGCCAGATATGAATAGGCCGAATTGCTTGTAAAGACGATGGAATGGACGAGGATGACGGTATGGCTTCGTCCAAACCCAACGGACTTGTGTTTTTTCATGAATTAGGGGTCAGCCTGTCTAACTCGAGAAAGAGCGTGAGGACATATGCTGTGGGGAAATGAGGTGTGATTATGCCGCTGTCTTCTTGTGATTATGTCGCTGTCTTCTTCGCAGCGAAACACTGCAATTCCATAAGTAAGGCGCAAATGGGTGGAGACACTGCGAGAGGACGAGAAGGCACGAACAGGAAGACAGGGGTGTCAATTGCATGTGTGGTGGTTGTGATCGTTCCTTCCGTTCTCGTAATTACACACAGAGGAGAGCAAGATGGCAGGGCCGACCGACCCTCACAATTTCAATTAAACCGGAAGGTGCTGAACCGCTGTACGAACGACGCCAAGCCGTTTCTGACCCTCCGTTCTGGCTTGTTATCAGTGGTATCGACAAGAACGGAGAGGGACAGACAGGGCCACGTCTGAGGGCAAGACGCGGGAGCGAGCGAATGGCAACGGCCGTGGTGGCGAAGACGTCCCGTCCTGGCTTGTCCTGGTGGGTTGGCATTTGGGCTGCCTACATCGTAACTACTGTGTAAGAAAGAGCACAACCCAAAGCCGGCTGGAATGGGCAGGGGCGTGTGTGGGGAGGAGAGACAGGAAGGGCGAATGAGGGGGAGCGTTGGCAAGGTGGTGACAGTCGACGCAAAGAGGAGGAGACTGTGCCGGCGCGAGACACGGGATGTTGCTGCGCTAACCTTTTTAGCGGGACACGACGTACGGAGTGAGCTCAATATTCACAGCGAGGGGTGTTTGGTTGGACTCAGAACAGGCAGAAAGGAGCTCCAAATGGACGCTACTGCGCGAGTGCACACACCACTTGGCAAGTGGTGGTTCATTTTTTTCTTCTTCTTTTTTTTGTGCATCCGGGCTCGATAACAACACGCGGTGCCAAGTCAAAAGACCTCCGGCCAAATGCTGACCAAAAACAGAAGCACATCCTGCCGCCTCCATGTTGTGAGTACGGAATTGCTTCTGCAGTTTGCACATGCCATCCGGCTGCAAGGGACTACCGACAAGTGCAGAAGGTCGTAGCATAACGGTACTTGGCCTTGGAATGCGGCTGGCGCGAGGTCAACCGGGTTTCGAGATACGGGCGAGCAAGTGGGTGAACGGAGTGAGAAGGACCCAGAAGACGGACGACCGATTCTATACGATGTACGATCTCAAAACGGGCAAGATGGGACTGCCGGATACTCTCTCCGTCGCCCCGTTTTGTACGGCAGCATTGGGCATTAGGTCAGAAGAGCCAGCAGCCACTTGGCAGATCGAGGTCCGTTTTCCAGAGCTGCTGGTCGTAGTGGATGACGAGAACACGGTGCTGCCAATTGGCATCGATTAGACAACGAACACAAAAAAAGCCAACCACTCGCAGGACACTGCCTCAGCACGGCGGCCAGGACGAGTTAGAATGAGGCAGTGAGGCAGGGCAAGGCGACTGCATGGTGCATGCGGAGCTGCGCGCTTTTGATGCACGCTCAGCACCCCCTGCTGCACAGTGCTCCGCTAGATGCAGTCCCTGCAAGCACTCTGGCACTCAAGCGTCCGCCAAACGAGCCTCAAAGTCACACAGAGCCAGCGATACAAGCAGGGCGAACTGGCGGAGGTTGGGCTGTGCTGTGCGAGCAACTGGAAGCATCTGAAGACACGAAAAAGTGGGACTGGAGGCTCAACATCGTCATAAAAGCGACGAGGGCCAAGAAGAGATCCACTGTGCCGCTGGCAGCAGGTTTTTGGATTCTCTCTGTTTCTTTTTCTTCCCGCCCAATAGGATTAGCCGTCCGTTTTCTCGACACGTTGACTGGCCGTTGAGGCTATCTGCTGATTTTCTTAGCAATCGTGCCCTCGTTTGTTGTCCTGCATCAAAGTCGTAGCAAGTGAGTGACTGCAAACAATGTTTATGCACGGACATCCTGCACCATCGACGACGCGCTGACGACAGTCTTCCAAATACGCTGTTAATCATCCTGTATTACCAATGCTGAAGGAGCCATAATGCAGAATGCCCATAACGCCCAGAGCACCAGTGGGTACACAGATGTCGAGAGATACTTCGATAAGTTGGACGTTGAAAGCTGAATATGTAGTGCAAAGGATCCATTCACACCAATGCCGGGCCGGATGACTTTGCCTTGTGGTGGATAGGCAACAGCGGCCGGCTCACGGGACCGGCCTCAACGCCGAATGTGGGGGGTGGGGCAACGGAGCAGGCAGTCACGAATATGGAAGGCACGGATTGCAGTCCTCGGAAAGGGTGACAAAATTCCAATCGGTCATTCTGTTGGGAAGGCGGTCGCCCCAAGTGGCCGTATTGCTCGTTTGCGCCTCTTTCGACCTTGCCCAGTTATTTACCAGGTGCGTTTTGGTTTTGCACTCAGCTGCAGGTCGTCGCCGCGCCACTCGTCTGTCGGTTGTCTGTGCGCCTTTTCGTTCTTGGATGACGGGCCAACTGACCCCAGATGGCACGACGAAGGGTCCGTTTCAGACAGCTAGACGCAAGGCAATATCGTCCAGCATGTCACGGGGCGCTCTGCCTCTACCTGCGCAGATACATCTCGGCTACAGAAGTCAAAGGAATTCTAATCGCGCCAACGATCTGCCAGGCAGCGATGAGTCTTTTCCAGCACACGTCGAACTGTTCGCACCCCCCCCCCCCCCTCAACGAACAGCATGACAACGACAACAAACACAGCGGTATCATGCGGGATCGACAAGATATCGTATACTCTTCTCTGTCGCTATCTCATTACCATCAACCGCATTACACAGAGGACGCATCGTACAGTGACAGACGCACATGCCCTACCGGCCGGTGTGCTGTATCCATTCAAACAACACGCCTATTATTTGCCCTATATCCTGTGATCCTGTGTTCTGTTCTATCCATTTCTGTGAAACAGGCGGATGGGAGAGTGAACGTGTGGCCCGTTCTCGTAGTCCGACACCACGCAACAAGCACAAAAGGCTTCAGTTGTGCGTTGCGGCAATGAATGCAGGGTGGTAAGGATCGGGACAACGAGCGGGGACACAGAAAGTTTCCCAAGCTAAAAGAAAGCATCGACTTGGCTCCTTGTTTGTCCCGCTCAGAGTTACCATCGTTTCGCCGTTTCCCGTGTTTCGACTGGCCTGCGTTTTCCTCATTGGTCCTGTCCCGCGGCACAAATCTAACTGGGCATCTTATGACGTGCTGATATACCCTCCATCGTGTTTTCTTTTCGGTGTCGCCTGTCGCCTTGTCATCCATTTTCGGTCGTCTGCTTTTGCGTCTCACGGCGATTTAATAACGAAAATCTGTTTCCATGCTTCCTACAAGTTCGGTAACGGTGGTAAGTTATCGTTGTCTGAACTTGTTATCAACAACACGGGTTCGCCTCCGGGTGGTGGTCAACCGTCTTAACCTTATCATCTTTGCCCCAACACCCGGTTATCCGCCAATCCACGAAGCGTCACACAATATCCTCGTTTTCTCACAAGAAAACCTTCGCTTCGCTGTTGTGTCATTCTCTTGTCAATGCCCATCGTGTTTGTGTTCCCCCAGACGCATCTGGCGTGATCTATGGCTCGACAGGTGCCATGAGACGTAGAAAAGGCCTTTGCACATGCCCTGTTCACGGGATATGTTTTCTGCATCGAATCTGCAGCTCACAGTCGCCACAATGCATGGAAAGATGCACTGAGGAATAAAACTATATGTATATAAAAAGACAAGAATAGAAGACAAACACAAAAAAAGACGCAGAGCCAGCCACACAGAGTTGCAGGGCAAAACAATAACAGTAAACACACCAAAACTTAACAACCCCAAACACGCAAGCAAAACAACGCGTTGCGATTGGAAACTGCTTGCTACAAATGACTGTTTTTCTTAATGCATCGCTCATTCGCCAACCACCACTCTCAAAATTGGACGGCCTCGAGGGCGTCAGCACGAAAAAGTGGGCGTAAGGTGGTATGGAAGGATTCTTGTGTACATGTACAGTAACCGGATGCATACCCATTTGCTAGGCTGGGGCAAAGCATGGCCTGCATAAAAAGCATAAGGCAGTAAATTGCCGGCTGCATCATATGTGTAGATGAAGGGGGAGCGGAGATGATTGTGCGTCGTAGCGGTTTTCTTCACCCATACTCAAGAAAAGAAGCAAAGAAAAGGCGGAAGTGGCGAAAGCAAGAGACGAATGTAAACAAACGCGAAACAAAATCGCCGATCCGCCCAAACATCAGGTCTTATTTCCAAGAAACAGCCTCTTGTCGCTCTCAACTTAGGCAACGTGAACCAACAACTGTCTCTGCACGGCTTTTTTTTCCCCCCAGTTTTGCTCCCGGCCATTCTCTCTGAGTCATATAAACTTTGACGTCGCATCACCGTTCTCCGGCTATCGTGCCCGATGACCTCTAACTGTGGCAATGTATATTTCAACGGCGTCCTTGTAAACGGAAAGGGGGACCCTTGGCAAACAACAAAAAAAGTAGAACAAAACGTAGCGGATAGATATGCTCGTCAGCAACAATCAGGAACTTGAGACGAAGTATCACAAGGTTTTAAGACATGCACAGGGACAAACATATACAAAGACAACGAATTTGAGATGTGAACAAACAAGTGTAAAAGAAAACTCCATTCTCACTGGGCTGTGTCAAAACGTATACTACAATATAATAGTACGTAGTAGGACAAAGTTGGCAACGGGCCAAAAGAGACCGGGATAACTGCGGAGGCCAGCTAGACGGTCGATCTCGCTTCGCCGGTGCTGAGACGGATGGGTGGCAACTAAAGTTCAAACGTGATAAACGAGAAGGTCGGCGAGAGGGTAACATCGGGGACTAAATCTTCTGACTATTCTGTTCGACGACGCAAAGTCAAAACAGAGCAATACAGTAAAAAAGGCTACCAGATGCAAATGAGGTTTGCGAGTTGTTCCAAGGCACAGGTCATTTGAACGCAATCATATGCACGAATCTAAAGGAAAATACCTATACAAGTACAGTCGGACGACGTTATCAACGACAAAAAACGACGAAAAAAGACGCACACGAAGATAAAAGAAATGACGATCATTCGAAACAGAACGCCAGTTACAATGCATTGCGTGGCGATTCTCTTCACTTCGTACTTCATCCATGCCAAGAAAGCAGAGCAAAGACGTCAGAATGGGGCCATGTGCGTCCTTTGAGGTTTGGGGTAGCTTGTCCCCTGCGACTGAACTTCTATACAGAAGCACGCAAATAACTACAAAGAAAGGAAAAATAAAAAAATTCGAGGCAAGACGGCAAAGTCGGCCCCAAAGCTACGATAACACACCAGGTTGAATCGAGCAATATTGACTGGCGATCTACGCAAAACTCGTCGACCATGTGGATGGAAGACCAAGCGCAACGTACAAAGACCAGAACAAGGCCATTCGGCTTCCACCACGCATCGCCCAGCACAACCACTTTCTTACTTTTACAATCACGACACCGGCACCACTCAAAGACCGGCGCTAGTGCACGAAAGTGAGTACAGGATAGATTGCTTTTTCTTTTTCCTGCCCGCCGAGGAGGAGGAGGCTGCGCGTCTTAGAGCAGCGAGGTGCTCACCGCCTTTTCTAACTTTCTCCTTCCACCCTCTCTCCTCCCACATTCGTTTTCCTTTCCCTTTGCCCTCTACCTTTATCCAATAATATTCTAGCTCGTCGGATAAACTGGCAATTTTATGCTTGCTTCCACTGAGAATACGGATCTGTCTCGAGTCTTCGGGTTTCCGTCTCCAGTCTCCGTCCACTCTTGGCCCATGCTCGTGACATAATGGAAGGCCAGGACAGGCCAGGCCAGATCGGGTGCACTCTTGTTCGGCTGCAAGTAAGACGGAGAACATGATGGACGCCCCTTTCCGACAGTTGTCGCCATTGGTGCTCTGCAGACTCTCACGTGCTGGGACAACTCAGCCAACAGATTAGCTTGTCGACCGCACTAAACAAACTTTGTTGGCTTTGCTTTTCTTTAACGTTCTTGATCCGATATTCGTATACCAAGCTAGGTCCTCTGTTTAGATGGATAAGGAGACATGTCAGAAGGCAGCAAAAGAAGACCCCTTGTAGAAAAACCTGTGCCGGCCAGCTCTGTACGTTAACAGTTGCCGCTAATCTACTCTCTCAGCAAAAGGCAAGTCTACACAAGTTGGCGAAAGTGTATAAAAGGGTCAGGAGGCGAAGACGACGACGCCGACGGATCGCCGGCAGACCACAGGCCGAGCGAGATCTGTTGCCGAGATGTCCATGCGTTTGGCCTTGGCGGCCAGCTTGGTCGTGCCATTGTTTGTGGACACAGGACGGAGTGGAATATGGCGAAAGGACATGCAGGTAACGTTGGGGTTCCCGTACATGTATTCTGGCTTCAGGTCGGTGCCTAAATCCGTCATGGTACCGGGCGCGGTAAACTCTGTGTAGGCAATGCAGTTGTGGTCGGAGTCGAGGCTGCCTGGTAGGCAGATAGGAACAAATCAGCGGTGTCCCAGAGCAAGGGCCTCGCTCATGGGTGCAATATCGGCGATGTATGTTCGGAATAGTTGGACGGCCCTGTCTATACCGTAGGCAGTTTCCCGGTCGGGCACTTTCAGACAAGGGGTCCAGCCCCTCGGTCAGTACAAGGTTGAGGAGGCCGATGTGTCTTACTGGGAGGCGGCCACGCGGCAGGTGGCCGCAGTCGTTCAGAACGGTGGCGGCAAGAAGATGGGCAGCAGCACGACAATAAGCACCAAGAACAGCAAGGCACCGTCAGGTATGTATTCACTACGGCGATGTAGGTGGGCTCGTGGGCACGCCGGAACAGGCCAAACGTCGCGATTTCATGTCCCAGAAATTGGGCGAGTGCAACGAGGTGTCTTGCGAAAAAGGAAAGCTTTATCAATGAGACTGTTGGAGCACACACGTCCGAACGGAAGAGGATAGGCGAATAACCTCCTCTTTGGATGGCGTGATCATGCTCCATCCCCATGCCGCTCCATGTATGGCAGGTGTCCATTAGGCCAAGATACCAAAAAGATGTCTTATAGCCGTCGTTCCAGAATATCTTGTAAACAAAGGCCGTGTCATTTTCTCTCGTGGCCAAGTATCTGGGCGATGACGCAGTTGCAGCGTTCCATTCATGAGGGCTCGACGTCGTCGGGATACCTTGAGGCACGATGAATAGAGGCGAATGTGGCCGTCGTCGGTATGAGTGGATTTGACCGAAGATCTGCTGCAAAGGCCTGAAACGAGACAGAGAGGACACGACTGCTTGAGTCGGATGTATGCGGAGAAGAGGAGTAAAGGTTGTTTTGTAGTTGTAGTGGCCGTGACATGTAGTAGATGCAAGGTACTTATGAGGCATGCGAATGAGCTCATTTGTTCTGAAGTTTGGATGTCCTCGGAAAGGTGAAGGGAAGGAAAGCACTTGATGGTCAAGCGATGGGTAATGGTTAATGAGGAAGTAGCCATCACGCTTCAGTTCTTTCCTCTTTGGTCCTCGACCCAGCTAGGCATGAGCAATAGTTGCTCTTTCTTCAAATTATGGGCAGTCTCAATCCCAAAACAGAAGTCGCGATGCGTGTATCCTATGATGCACAGGTAAACGGTCCTCAATGTCGACTTGGCCGTCTACTTTCCATAGCTTAGCCATTCCTCGTTGAGCCCAGGATTACCAGACAATCGACAATACTGCATCCACGAGGCATAGCATCGCTTGTGCCGACAATACTTCTCTCTCTCTCTCTCATTTTACTGGAACGACGACTTCAAGCAGTATATAAATGACGGTTTTACAGTATCCTTCATGTTATATCCCCCCCCCCCCCCCCCCAGTTTACTTTATTTTCTCTTGGCCTTTGTCAGACGTTCTCAGCCATTGTCTTACCGCAAGATAGTTAACAAGAGACAATACCTTGCTACCGCTTCCATGCCGTGCCTTTTCGCTCTTCTTCAATTCTCTATTTTAAACTCTTATTACTAATATTCTTTGTACTTGATGCAAAATGCTAAATTCATGTTGCCTTAGGCCGCGAATAAAACTGCTGTCAAGAGACTTGCTAAGAGTGGTTGCCTTGCGAGGCTGGTTCGGGGACGAGCTGAAAGCGGCAGCCTCTTTGGCCGACCAGTCTCGTTACACCTCCACTCTCAGACTGCAGTTCGCGCGTGGTCTTCTCCAAATATACGGTGCATATCTTTCACAAAAATTCGTGTTCCGCGGTAGCCGAACGAGGCGACCAGTCGATTCCCTTGACTATGATCAACAGACACGCCAGATTCTGGCTACTTCCCACATTTTTCGGCATTCGAAAAACTATTAATAATAATAATAGTAATACAGAACCCGGCTCCTTTGGTAATGATGGCATCATGCAAGGCACATCTCTGTGAGTCGTCGGAGTCGGCTGACGGAGTATTCTCGTTCAGAACCTGCACATGCACATTGCCTGAGATGGCCACCATGTGAGTCGACTGACTCAAGTTGCCGGGCGCGCCATGCTCGCCACGCCATCAGTGTTCCATTAAGGGCTCTTGGCACGATCGAAGTGGAAATGTGGGAGACCCCGGACTGCTTGAGAGCAGACGTGAACACGAGTTAACGAAAAGGGGAGAGGGTGAAGACAACCGAACGTGATATAAAACTCGGCTTCGAAAGCACAAAATACAACGGCCTAGAAGATGTTAAACAAAGACGGTTACGAGAACAGAATCCAGTTTCTGGGTCTCAGGGCAACGACCTGTGTCTCAGAAGCAAGACAATCAACGATGAAGAGAACGTCAACAACAGTCAGATGGCCAAACATTAACGTGGAAATAAAGGGTAACGCCAACGCCGATGAAGCTTAAAGGGGAAAGGCACTCTCAATATTTCCTGGAAAAGGGGTGTGGCCGCTGTGCCAAGGTGGTGTCGTGCTGTGTCTCAGCTTACGAGTTTTGCTGTGGCTGGCGTAAGCTGCGAAGAAAAAGGTGTAAGATTAGGTCGGCAAGAATACCAGGTATTAGATCACTCAAAGCGCTGTAAGAAACACGGGCTAAGGGGCTGGTAGACTACTACGGTCACAGCCTCGTCGTCGTAGTCTTCATGCTATTTACAGGCGGTTTCTAGCTGTTTTAGGCCCTAGTGGACCCTAACCGGAGCGGACAGTAGTGGTCACGGGTGCTTCCAGCGGCTCGCTCGGGTCTAAGGTCACGCTAAGAGGCTGCTAGTACTGAGCCAGTGCGCTAAAAGGCCCTCTAAAACCACGATAAGGAGAGGGCTGCAGATGAGTGGGCAGCCCGATACGTCAGTGCAAGGCGATGGAGGGAAGGCGCGGTCGATAGGCACGACAACCCCATCATGGCGCCTTCCATCTGGCATGTGTAGCCTTCTTGCCGACCTTCTCTGGCCGTTTAGGAGGCTTTTCGAACTTTTCGAGTTTTCGATGTCTTGATACACTCTCTCCTCTTTTAGAGCAATCGAACAACTATTATTTGGCCTTGCGACTCCCGGGGTTTCGCGCACTAAATGACTGCGCCGCTGCCACAGGCACACATGCTGTTTGGCGCCCTTTACGAGATGCCTCCCTCGACCTCCCACTCATCCTACATGGATCTTACTCCAAAGAATCTTGGGCCACCAATAGTCGTAGGGATCCTCAAGATTCCATTTTCCACAGAGTCCTAGATGGTGTGTTAGGCCAGCTGGGGCAAGCTGAGGACGACAGATCGAATGACAGCACGCCGGTCGCGCATGGGCTGGTCTTCTTCAGCAAGGAAAGAAGTGAGACACTCCCACTCTAATCTGCATTTTCTGCGACGGCCGGTGACCACTCTGACTGGTCGGGGTTACGATTGGCACATTGGGCTCTCTTGATAGTGCCGGCTTCGTCTGCATCCTAGCCCATAATGAGGCTCCCAATGCCCATCCAGCGCCCACATCTTCACGCCTCTCCTCTCTATCAAGGACAGGCAGCGAGATGAGGGTGGGCAGGTGTGCCCCTTTGCCCCCTCTGTCTCTCACTCCGCCGCCTGCCCCTCCTCGCTCGCTTTGCATCGTCGTGATGGTGTGCACTGGGCCACACAAGAGTCCCCCACCGGGCTTTTCATGGCTTTGCTGATCCGGCTGGTCATTGCCACTTCCATTTTCACCAGCCTTTTATCTTCTCCTCTTCTGTATTTTGGTTCTCCGTCTTTTGATCCTAGATGTCGTTTGTTTTCTACTGGCCCTTCTCTTTGTGTTATTCACGACATCCTCTCGTCCTACTTCTAGTCCAATTCACCCATTTCCTGCACTTACACTTCATCCTATTTTTCTTCTCTCGTCGTCTTTCTACCTTCTTCCTTCTTCTTCTGATTTCTTCCGTCATCTGTCACTCCTCTCCTCTTATGTCAAGGGCAAGACCTGCAAACATATAAATATACGAGGCTCCTCCACATTTTCAGTCAACAGCTCGTCTGTTGACGGATGTCCTTCCCTTTTCATTCGGTTACACTGCATATGCCTCGCAACCTCCTTCGATATCACTCGTCGACGCTTACTGGACCGTCTCTTGTTACAGCCTTCTACAACTTCATCTGACAAAGAGGACAGACAAAGGGACAACCAAGGAGCGATGCACAAAACAGAATTTCAAATTTGAGGTCTGAAAACCGACGAAACAACGTCAAGCGACGGACAGCCTCCTAACTCTTTGATTCTTCAATATTGCGTGAGACGGGCAATACGAGGCTGTGGCGAAACATTGTTTCCTTCCTATCTCATATTTCTTACCCCCTCCTTACTGTCGCTCCCGCATGATATACCCATCACTCGCTTCATATAGACGGCCAATTTTCTCGCACTTTTATTCCTTCCCTGCTTCTATCTCTTGTCTTCTTTGTCTTCTTTATCGTCTTTGTCTGCTTTGTTCTTTTTTGGCCGCCTGTCTAGTTCGGTGCAAACTCATTGCCTGCCTATCCGTCTTCTTGCCTCCCATACACACCATGGTGAACGGCCTCGCTGAGTCGTAAGAGACATAAGTGTACCGGCATCAAAACTTCGTCGGCCAGGCCCGATAAAGAGGCCAAACTCGCACAAAAAAACAGAGCGAAAGAAATCCAAGTACACCCTGGTCATATTTACAAACATGCCTGCATCGTCACACACGTCAGCCGCGTATGGATGGCGCGAGTCGTGGCCGCCTGCGCAGATACATCTACAGCCAGCCGCGACGACTGGCGACCGCAGAGGGGACGACACCGCCACGATTAAGGAGGAGACCGGAGGCGACCTCCACAACGATGACATGCAGCTCACCGACGACAACCCGCTTGTGTACTTTCTCACCCCGACACCTCTGCTCTCCGTCGACGATGACGGCGAAAGCTACTTTGTAGACGACTCAGATTCGTCTTCCATTTTTTATGACAACGAGCGCGATGACGACACCGGTTTCTATGCCGGCACCAGCATGGACCTCGAGTTTGATGCCGGCATCGAGGATGACACGCACCCGCAGCCCATTATCCGCAGCGTCAGCCCGTCGTCCCTGAGCGGGACCCTTGGCAGCGGCGGGCGCACTTCCCACACAGCCATGCGGCCGCCCACGCCTCCGTACTCGGCGACAGCTCGCCATCCCAGCCGTCAATCCGGCAACACCAACCTTACTGGAGCCGATCCCTCAATGTTTGATAACATTGACACCGCCGTTGTCTACGAAGACGGGGAGCACTACATCCACTTTGGTGACGGAGACTACTCAGCCCATCACAGCTCGTCGTCCTCGCCGACCAATGACCGCACGTCTCCTCGCTCCTCGAGCCACGCCCTGTCGCCTCCACCCTTATCATCGTCACCGGGCGAACCGCGGTCGCTACCGGACATCCACGACCTATACACACACCACCGCCTCAACAACTCCCAAACACACCTCACTGTCGCTGGTGCCATGATTGTTCGGCGCAGGTCGCCGCGGTCCTGGCGCGTGCCGAGCCCAGACGTGTTTTCCATTGAGGAAGAGACGGCAGAGGAGCTATCGTCTGGTGTCGCCGCCTCACATGGCCGCCCAGGGCGTCCTCATCACGACCGCCACACCTCTGAAAGACATCTACACGTAGAGGCTGCAAAGCCGCCCTTGAAGAAGCGGGTTCGTTTCGTGCTGCCCGGCGAGGAGGTTGCACAAGGATCTTAAATCTCTTTCACACCAGAAGCCCGACCTTTATCTACCGTCGTTTGTTTTTTTTTTTTTTTTTTTTTTTTTTTTTTTTGTTCTTTTATTTTCGTTACCCAAGCTCTACACGCATTTAGCTTGTGGCATGTTTGTCTTGTATCTGCATCCGGCGGTGTTGGAGGTTCCTCTGGCTAGGGTACCGTGTTTTATTTTGCTGCTATTTTGGCTTCATTTTTCTTCCTCGCTGTTTCTGCTCCAGTTCCTTGTCATAAGCTTTTGGGTTTCTGTTCCTTGGACTGCGTCACACTTGCGTTTCTTCATAGTTCATTTGAGTAATACCATTGTACGTTTATACCCTTTGCGCAGACAATAAATATTAGCACACTTCAGTCTCTCAATCTATTTTTCTAAATTCTAAATTCTAAATTCTAAATTCTAAAAAAAAAACTAAAAACTTACTGTGATACCCGCGGGTTTGCCATGACGAAATCTAGATCTTGTACGAAGTACATCGTAATAATCGAATATCTTACACACACCGAATCTCATCAGGATACAACGGGCCATCGACGATCGCTTTGTGCACATCCACAATGACGCGGATAACTATGGGACTACATATTTGTGCACAATGTGATAGTGACAGGGGACAGATTGGCACCCGTCAAATACCGGGAAATCATGTGGGAGCTGCAGGCAGTGTCTGGGTGTGTCGAAAACAGGGCAACTCCCGACTTATCCGCTTGGACAGTTAATTTTTGTCGTGTTTGCCATGTCAGTCGCTCGCCACGGGCCAAGACGTCTTAATATATTCGTTCCATGGCACTTGAAGCGCCTGATCAGACCACTCCAAAATATACAAGGAGCATCGCTTGAAACAGTGAGTGGCCTTGCGATGGTACTGTCCACGAGTGAGAAATGGAATGCATCAAGGCCGATGATGCGGGTAGCCTATGACCAGCTGAAGCGGAAGCGCAGAAGTAATTCGAAAAGGCTTGGCCTGATTCCAGCCAACGACAGACCTCGACAGGACTCGATTCCGACTTGGCGGGACATGTTCATCAGCGCAAACGACCATCCTCTCAGCCTGTCACCCAACAGTGGTCTGTTTCAGGCCTGTCAAAATTGTCCGTTGCTGGGCAGCCGCACTTGAGCTGCGGGGCCCTTTCGATCTTTCCTCACCTGCATGTAGTATTATGGGCTGGACCCACCCCTTGCCTTCCTGTATTGGCGCACGTCGTAAAAGGATCGGGCTTTCGGAGAGGCTCATGAAGCTAGACCCAAAGCTCTCTCGAAAGAGTGGGCACGTATGTTGTATCCCTCGCCGAAATGCATGTATGGCAACCTCGTATTTATTATGCTGCAGTAGACTACTTTCGCAACAGCCGAGTGGAACATGCCAATGCGCCTTGAAGATCGCAGCTGACTCTTGCAAGACAGGCCATATTACGGCTACAGGATAATGACGACGTATTATTACTGTTTTGCTAAATGAATAGGACCTTGCTCCTGCCTGTTTGATATTCTGGTTTTATTCCGTACTTTGGTCAATTTCCAGAGTCGCAGCTGCTGCGTTAGCGCCATCGACAAACCTGCTCCATCGTACCTTCTGTCTTGGGAGGGGCCAGCCCATGCCGAAAACGCCACCAGCGCTCAATGTTTACTCCTGGCTGCTCCTCGGCACGTCATTGGTCCGGACCACCCCTTTGGCACACTCACCTTGTCGAGGACTGAGGGCCCCCTACCAGATTGGCCGTATCTTGTCGAGTCAACACTCCATTGTTTGTCTCTTGTAGATTTTGTTTTGTTTTCGTCCCTGTTGCAAAATAGAGAGAGAAATACGACAACCGAGCAATCACGAAGAGAATGAGGGCACAAGCTACCTTGTAAGGCTAGCCGGTCGCTCTTGCCGCCACATTTGACAGGATTCCAACACGCCTGCCTTTCCGGATTGAAGCTTTTCTTCCCATCTGTGACCTCTTTCGTCATTTTCATCCCATCGTCCCTTCCCTGCCATCTGCGTCAGCAAACCTTCATTTTTTTAAGAATAAAAAACTTCCGCACACGATATACGGCCTCTGTTATCGACTTCGACGACCTCCTACAGACAATCATCTTCGGTTTCCTTCTTGCTCGACTCCCGCTCTGCCGATTATTTACCCATCTTCCTCCATCCGCATTTCTGTCCCCGCGAACTCGACTCTGGCCTCAACCATCTCCAAATACAATCTTTCCACCAACACCTCCACACGGGTTTCTGCAGATTAGTTTTCGCGGCAGTTTCTTGGAGACTACAACTTCTCGACGTCACTGGCTACCATGTGCTCAGAGTCCCGGGCTCAGCTCTGACCAACTTGGCCCGTTCTGTTGTGTAGCTCTTTTGCTGTCGATGTACTCTGGATCACAACAGTAGAACAAGTATGCCCTGCAGCACTCCGGTATGTGTTACCTGCTGTCCTCCCATAGCTCCCATTGCCTCTTGTTCCCTCGTTTCACCCCGTTTCCTCCATCTGTTGTTTTGTTCAGGCCTAGTCGGAAAGCGGTGCAAATCGGTCACGGAGAAGGAAGGAAGCAGAGGCACGAGGACAGTATAACAAGAGCACGAGCATAGACGTTGCGCGAACTGATGGTTCGGATCGATCTGGATCACTGCCCTTTAACGGCTGCGCTGATCTGCCGTCGCTCATCACCCTTGTTTTCTCTTCCGCGTTCCATCTCTCCGCCCTCTCTGTGTACCCCATGTGCGCGTCCATTCCAGTACTCGAGAAAGAAAGCCTCATGCCCAGAACGAGGAGGGCTGTCATGAATCTTCGCGTAACCAACTAAGGAATGCAACTAACCTTTTTGTCAATTTCCCCGGGCTCTTTTTCGCTTTCTAGTCCAGCATTCCTCCACAGCTAGTAGACCATGCCTTCTGCTAGTCAAGTCGCCAGCGACGACGACGACGCTTCGTCCTCCTCGTCGCCTTCCTCAAATCCTTCCACATCGACATACCGGGCTGCCACGCCACAGAAACAGAAACAGAAACCTGGCAATGACGCGCCTACCACTCCGAAACATCGAAATGCCTCTGCTGGTCAGACTCCTAGGAGTGCGCCTGCCGCTGCTGCCGCAGGACTTGGTGCCGTGGCCGCCGGTACCAACCGGCCACGCCGCCTCTCACAGTCCCAAAAAGTCCAGCCTACTCTCCTTACTGACTTCTTTCTCGGCCGCCCGTCCCAAGCTCGTGTCCAAGCGCAACGTAAGAAGATGAACGATGTCGCCGCAGTTAAGGCAGAAATGCGCACAGCTATGCGCCAGTCATCTGTCATGAGACTGCAGCAACCTGGCGGTGTCCGGGACCGCGTCAAGAACTGGCAGAAAGCAAACGCTTCTGCCATGGCCGGAGGCAACCCCGAAGCCGAACCAAGTGAGCCCACGGATGTCGCAGCCGGTACTGACGAACAAAGCGTCACGGAAGAAGACCGCATTCGCATACGCGCCCGCCAGAAACTACGAGCCCCCAAACAACCGACGATTAAGAAGGAGTATCCCAAAACCGACGGCGAGGATAACGGTCCTGGCAGCGGGTTGAGAAAACAAGGCAAGGCCGGTCTCAATGACCGGTCTGGCAAATCAGAAGGCGACAACGAAAGTGATCCTGGCTATGACATTTTTGAAGATCCTGGACCCAAGTTCCACACGGTGAAGACTCCGAAAGGAAGAAAGGGTCTAAACGGGGTGATCAATGCTGGGGAAGGTAGTCCGCCGAAAAAGAGGATTGTTAGTGACGAACACTGGATGAAGCGGAGAACCCGAACCTCGCCGAAGACGCGCCCTAAAACAAAAGCAGGAGCTGCCGCTGGAATTGGATCCTCGATGCCAATCCCGAAAGATTTTCTTCAGCGGACAGCACAAAATCCGACCGTCAAAAACAAGATCAAAGACTGGGCAAATAGGGTCGAGCCGCACAGTCCCCCGAAATCGCCACGCCACGACTACCGGAAAGAAAGTCCCGTCGGCGAAGGCGACGAGAGCGATGTGACCAAAGGACCGGGACCGACGAGCTGGCGTAGTGCGCCTGACGACGGGATCCGCGTTCGGCCTATCCGCTCCACGAGATCTGCAGAAGACAGCCGGGCTCAGGAACAACAGCGTGCAGTGAAAGACAATACCACTCGATGGAAGAAGACGCAAAACGATGATGGCATCCGCATCAGGCCAATGCTTCCCAATGAGTCGACTGAGGACATCATCGAGGTGATTCTCTCTGAGGAAGAACAGGTCACCCCCCGCAAAAAGAAATTTATGCCCAACGACGGCATCCGAGTCCATCCCGGCAGGGCTACGACTCCAAACGGCGATGCAAAAGAGAACATCACCAAGCGCAGAGTCTCGGCAACAAAAAAGAACGCGCCTGTTCCAGCATCCTCGCAAGAACGTGCCAGGACCGGATCTCTTGGCACATCCACTACACATAGTGCACCGACAGAGAGCACACAATTTGAAGAATCGTCCCTAATTTCGGTTGAATCCATCACCGAAGAGCCCGAGTCGGTCCTCCGTACCCCGACAAAGAAGCCCGTTCCAAGACCTCGCCCAAGGCCAAAGGTGAAAGAGCCATTGCAGCGGAGGCGCAGACCAAGTCTGACTGAGACTCGAGGTGACGAAACGACGACAAGGAATGGGTCTTTCCACGAAGGCTCAGTGGGATCCTGGTCTGACAATGACGATGACAGCAACTCAATTGCTGACTCCTACGGACCGTCCACCGTACCGCCAAAGTCCCTGGCTGACATTCCCGTGGGATACTCCGCCTTTAGCGAACTTGATTTACCTATTCGCGGAGGAGGCGGCAGAGGAAGGCCCCGAACCGTACGGAAAGAGAGCTTCAAGGGTGTTCCCAGTGTCCTGAAGAAGGTCGTCAGCGAGGGCAAAAAGATTCTCCACGACAAAGTTGACCCACCCAAACCTGTGGTGAACCAGCCTCCGAGCATCGAAAACTGGCTGCACGGCACAGTCGATCCTTTTGTTGAGCCGAC